ATAACAAAAATTAGCCTGACGAGGGATCCAACCATATGCAGGTGCGAATACCGCAATAGTGATTCACTTTTTCGGTGGCGATCCCTGTGAGGCAACGAACCGTGCTAGGGGCGTGCCGACATGAGTGGTGTGGTACACAACGCGAACGAAAACGATGATCTGAGCACGTAGGGAGACTGAGCGCGGGTGAATCTGCGCGCGTGCGTCTGACTGTGAATGAATCTGCGTGCGAGCGAGTCTACGTGCATGAATGCGAATATGACAAAGCGTGGTGCAATTGTGTATGAATGTCAATAGTTTGACAATGACTGCCTCTGAGTACTCGTGACGCTGGGCGTGGCCGCCGCAAGGAGCTTCCCCGGGACTCCCCGACGGCAACGCCCGCGCGCCGCGACGCCAATGTCGGCGCGCCCCCCCGCGAGGATCGCGCCCGCTTCCTCCCCTTCCTTTACTCCCTCTTTGCCCGCGCACTCAAAAGTCCAAGGCTGCGGGCGCAGCGCAGCGCGGAGTCCCCGCGACGCGCGCAGGTCGCCCCGGAGGGGTCCCAGCGACGCGCGGTTCGTCCACTGCGCGGAGCAAAGAGAGCTAGCTGGCTGGCTGATAGCAGGCAAGGCTCTTGCCGCTGGGCAGAGCGACGACGGGCGAGCGAGGCGCTGGGCAGAACGCAGCACGGAGCCCCCGCGACGCGCGCAGGTCGCCCCAGAGGGGTCCCAGCGACGCGCGCGGGTCGCCCGCTGCGCGGAGCAAAGAGAGCTGGCTGGCTGGGACCTGCGGTGGGGCTCCCTATGGGGCCACGTAACGCTGTACCGGGCAAGGGAGACGCATGCGGACTGCGCCACGGGGGCCGTCGGTGGAGTTCCCTATGGGGCCACGAAACGTGTGAGGGGTGTGCCGAAATGAATGGCGGGGACGCATGCGGACTGTGCCACTGGGACCTTCGGCGGAGCTCCTGTGGGGCCACGAAACGTGTGAGGGGTGTGCCGACATGAATGGCGGGGACGCATGCGGACTGCGCCACGGGGACCGTCGGTGGAGTTCCTATGGGGCCACGAAACGTGTGAGGGGTGTGCCGAAATGAGTGTCGGGAGCGCATGCGGACTGTGCCACTGGGACCTTCGGCGGAGCTCCTGTGGGGCCACGAAACGTGAGGGGTGTGCCGACATGAATGGCGGGAACGCATGCGGACTGTGCCACGGGGACCTTCGGCGGAGCTCCTATGGGACCACGAAACGTGTGAGGAGTGTGCTGACATGAATGGCGGGGACGCATGCGGACTGTGCCACCAGGACCTTCGGCGGAGCTCCTATGGGGCCACGAAGCGTGTGAGGGGTGGGCCGACATGAATGGCGGAGACGCATGTGGACTGTGCCACCGGGACCTTCGGCGGAGCTCCCTATGGGGCTACGAAACGTGTGAGGGGTGTGCCGAAATGAGCGGCGGGGACGCATGCCGCCGTTGCCAATGGGACCTTCGGCGGAGCTCCTGTGGGGCCACGAAACGTGTGAGGGGTGTGCCGAAATGCGTGGCGGGAACGCGTGCGGACTGTGCCACTGGGACCATCGGCGGAGCTCCTATGGGGCCACGAAACGTGTGAGGGGTGGGCCGAAATCGATGGCGGGGGCGCATGCGGACGGTGCCACTGGGACCTTCGGCAGAGCTCCTATGGGGCCACGAAGCGTGTGAGGGGTGTGCCGAAATTACACACCCACAAGGACCTTCGGTGGAGCTCCCTACGGGGCTACGAAACGTGTGAGGGGTGGGCCGAAATAGGTGTGCGGGACGCATGCGCACACACCCACTGAGACCTTCGGTGGAGCTCCCTATGGGGCCACGAAGCGTGTGAGGGGTGGGCCGAAATGGGTGTGCGGGACGCATGCGGGCACACCCACTGGGACCTTCGGTGGAGCTCCCTATGGGGCCACGAAACGTATGAAGGGTGTGCCTCAATGGGTGTGGCGGGACGCATGCTGGCACGACCCACTGGGACCTTTCGGTTGGGCTCCCATGGGCCACGGAACGGGTGAGGGATGAGCCTAAATGGGCCTAAATGGTGTGCTGGACGCATGCGAGAGCACACCCACTGGAAACCTTCGGTGTAGTTTCCTATGGTTCCCCTGAAGCGATTGAAGGGTGTAACCGAAATGGGTGTGCTGGACGCATGCGGACGGCAGCACGGGGGCCTTCGGTGGAGCTCCCTGTGGGGCCACGAAACGTGTGAGGGGTGTGCCGAAATGAGTGTGCGGGACGCATGCGGACGGCAGCCATGGGGCCTTCGGTGGAGCTCCCTATGGGGCCACGAAACGTGTGAGGGGTGGCCGAAATGGGTGTGCGGGACGCATGCGGACGGCAGCACTGGGGCCTTCGGTGGAGCTCCCTGTGGGGCCACGAAACGTGTGAGGGGTGTGCCGAAATGGGTGTGCGCACTGCATGCGAGCACACCCACTGGGATCTACGGTGAGCTCCCTATGGGGCCACGAAACGTGTGAAGGGTTTACCGAAACGAGTGTGCGGGACGCATGCGGGCACACCCCCTGGGACCTTCGGTGGAGCTCCCTATGGGGCCACGAAGCGTGTGAGGGGTGTGCCGAAATGGGTGTGCGGGACGCATGCGGGCACACCCACTGGACCTTCGGTGGGGCTACCTATGGGGCCACGAAACGTGTGAGGAGTGTGCCGAAATGAGTGTGCGGGACGCATGCGGGCACACACACTGGGACCTTCGGTGGAGCTCCCTATGGGGCCACGAAACGTGTGAGGGGTGTGCCGAAATGGGTGTGCGGGTCGCATGCGGACGGCAGCACTGGGGCCTTCGGTGGAGCTCCCTATGGGGCCACGAAACGTGTGAGGGGTGTGCCGAAATGGGTGTGCGGGTCGCATGCGGACGGCAGCACTGGGGCCTTCGGTGGAGCTCCCTATGGGGCCACGAAACGTGTGAGGGGTGTGCCGAAATGGGTGTGCGGGACGCATGCGGACGGCAGCACTGGGGCCTTCGGTGGAGCTCCCTGTGGGGCCACGAAACGTGTGAGGGGTGTCCCGAAATGGGTGTGCGGGACGCATGCGGACGGCAGCCATGGGGCCTTCGGTGGAGCTCCCTATGGGGCCACGAAACGTGTGAGGGGTGTGCCGAAATGGGTGTGCGGGACGCATGCGGACGGCAGCCCTCGGGCCTTCGGTGGAGCTCCGTATGGGGCCACGAAACGTGTGAGGGGTGTGCCGAAATGGGTGATGACGATGATGATGGTGGGAGGAGGAGGAGGAGGAGGAGGAGGAGGAGGAGGAGGAGGAGGAGGAGGAGGAGGAGGAGGAGAGGAGGAGGAGAGGAGGAGGAGAAGAAGAGAGGAGACGCGGGCCACCGTCTCTTCAAAACGAGGACCCAACACCACAGGATGGTTGGGAAATACTTCTACTTCGCGCGCGCGGGGCGGCCCCTGGGGGTCCCCGGACGAAAAGTACCCCGGGCGATCCCCGGCAGACTCGGGTCAGAGATGGTTTTCCTCCTGGGCGCCGCCCCCGTGGCCCTCCAGAGAGCCCCAAGAAGGGCCACGAGGCCGCCAAGAGCCCTGCAAGATGGTTCAAGAGTGCTCCGAGATGCCACACGATCGTTCCAAGACGCCCAAGATGGCCCCCAGACGCCCCAAGAGGCCTCCAAGAGCACTCCCCAGAGGGCCCCAAGAGGCAAAATTCATTCTTTTCCGTAGGTTTTGGGCAGATTTTGGCGTGTCCATCTTTTCGGCTTCCCGACGCCCCAAGACGGCCCAAGAGGCCCCCAAGATCGCCCCAAGAGGGCCCAAGAAGCTCCCAAGAAGGCCCCAAGATGGCCCAAGAGGGCTCCAAGACGGCCCCCGAGGCATCCAAGACGGCCCAAGAGGGGCCCAAGAGGGCCCCAAGCGATGCCCCAAAGGGGGAACACAAAACAAAACTTCGAGCCCTCGGCCTTAAGAAGCCCCCAGGAGGCCTCAAGAGGCCCCTGAGAGGCCCCAAAAGCCCCCAATAGGCCCTCAGGAGGCCCCCAAGCGACGCTGAAGAGGCCCCCCAGCGGCCCCAAGAGGCTCAGTCATGCGAAATGGGCCGGCGGAATGAGCGAAGCGATTCAATAATCAGCATCATGATCATCATCACCGGGTCCATCATCAACATCTACAATCAACATCATCATCATCATCATCATCATCATCATCATCATCATCATCATCATCATCATCATCATCATCATCATCAGCAGCAGCAGCATCATCATCATCCATCATCAACATCATCCATCATCATCATCATCATCATCAATCATCATCATCATAATCATCAACATCATCATCACCACCACCATCATCATCATCATCATCACCATCACCATCACCATCACCATCACCATCATCATCATGATATTCATCATCATCATCATCGTCATCATCATCATCAGCATCGTCATCATCAACATCACCATCACCATCACCATCATCATCATCATCATCATCATCCTCATCCTCATCCTCATCCTCATCCTCATCCTCATCCTCAGCATCATCATATCAGCCCGCGTTGGCTCCACATAGATAGGTGGACAGGAGAAGGACGAGAGGAGGATGGGATGAGGACAACAAGGAGGACGGGAGCAAGACGGGAGGAGGACAGGAGGAACAAATTCAAGACAGCGCAAGCAAGCAAGCGGAAGCAAGCAAGCGCAAGCGTGCAAAAACAAGCAAGCAACAGCCAGCGATCAAGTGCAAGCAAGCAAGGGCAACAAGAACAAGCAAGCGAGAACAAGCACGCAAGAGCAAGCGAGCAAGTGCAATAAGCATAGGAATACATGCGACTTGCAGAAATCCACAGGAATCAACATAGGCATAGGCATATGCGTAGGCATAGAAGTTAGGGGGGAGGCATAGGCATAGGCACAGCCATAGCCATAGGAATTAGGGGGGCATAGGAATTAGGGGGAGCAACGGACCAATTAGTAGGGTTTGAGTTAGAACTCCCATAGGGCAAGCCTATTTGGAGAATCACCACTATATCATCAGATTCGCCCCCTCCTCCCTATCACTGACTATCACTCAATCTTCGAAGTCCACCTGTGGCGACAATACCCCCCCGCGTCGGCGGCCAAGAAAAAAAAACAGCATACGCAATTAGGAGGACGAGGAGGCAAACGGAGAGAACGAGAATAATCCGAACGAGAGGGTGCACACGCTGCAGCACGTCGCAATTACCCTGTGCCCAGTGCTGGCAAGCGCGAGACCATGTCGGAGTGGGCCCGCTGGCTCCTCTGGCGGAAGGGATGGGACAAGGCGAGCTGGGGGAGATGAAGGCGGACGGGCAAGCTCCACTCCAGCATCGTCCTCCACAATAACGTGATGATTACCGCCTACCTCCTCCTGATATTCACTGCCAGCTCCGTGCAACTGTTTGTCTCAATTTCATACCTCACGTGTGGTAGATCCCACCAGCGCTCTGTAAGTAGGTGGTCTAACGAGTTTTTCCTTTCGTCTTCCAAGACCCCTCTTCCCTTCGAGGAAGAGTACCGCCCCCCTCCCCTCCCTGGTTGTTTGGGGGGGTCGCGAGGTGGCTGGAGATCTTTATTCGCCTAAAACGGCTCCAAGAAGGCCTCCGATGCTCCAAAATTGCCTTCAAAGCGACTCAAAATAGCCGAGGATGGTTCACGATAGCTTCCGGCATACCTCCAAGATGTCCCACAAAGGCAACAAAACGGTTCCAAAGGCTCTCGGAGCCTTCTCACGCTCCCCCCCCACCCAGAGGAGGCCCAAATCCGCCGACACAGTCGGCGTGTGTGCGAGGCCCTTCGACGCGAGACCAGCCCAACCAAAACTGAAAATACGCCAGCCTCTTTGAATTGTCGTCGCGCAGAAGATCGAACAAACAAAGGGGATCGAACAATGTCGTAATTACGTCGGAGGGAAGCCCCTTCCCTTTGTCCCTTCCCCGCGAGGGGGGCGGGGGCACGGGGGGGTCCCGGGGGGGGGTTCCCGGGGGGGGCACCCAGCGGGGTCATCCCACCCCCGCATGGGCGAGCATTCCCCCCTCCCCCGAATTTCGCCTCCCCAGAACCGCGGGGCGCTCGGAGACATACTGCCTCCTCCTCCTCCACCTCCTCCTCCTCCCTTTCCTCCTTTCCTCCTCCTCCTTCCTCCTCCTCCTTCTCCTCCTGCTCCTCCTTCCCTCCAACTCCTCGCTTCTCCTCATTCTACTCCTCTCCTCCTTCTCCTCCCCTCCGTCCTCTCCTCCTCCTCCTCCTCCTCCTCCAGCTCCCCGCCTCCTCTATACTCCTGCTCCTCCTCCGAGCATCTGCTGCTCCTTCTTTCTCCTCCTCCTCCTCCTCCTCCTCCTCCTCCTCCTTCCTCCTCTTCATCCTCCTCATCCTCCTCCTCCTCCTCTATCTCCTGCTCCTCCATCTGCTCCTCCTGCTCCTCCTCCTCCTCCTCCTCCTCCTCCTCCTCGTCCTCCTCCTCCTCCTCTATCTCCTGCTCCTGCTCCTGCTCCTGCTCCTGCTCCTGCTGCTGCTCCTGCTGCTGCTCCTCCTCCCCCTCATCCTCTACCATTTCTTTCCTTATAAATGACTTCTCCCTGCCGCACCCCGAGGCCAGCTTTTAGGGCGGGCCAGACGTTTCGCCTGAGACTTCCTCACCATTTGTGACCCTGAAACTTACAGATTGGCATCAGCTTCACAGATGGAGGGCGGGTCGTTTTCAAAATGTGGCTCTCGCCTAAGTGCGGCGCACATTCGTTCTGAAAATTTGCAAGAGCTTCACGGATTGAGGGCGGGTGGTTTTCAAAATGTGGCTCTCGCCTCAGCGCGGTGCACATGCGTTTTAAAATTTTGCAAAGGGCGTCACAGATTGAGGGCGGATGGCTTTCAACATGTGGCTCTCGCCTTAGCGCGGCGCACATTTGTTTAAACATTACAAGAGCTTCACGGATTGAGGGCCCTGGGCGTGTCGCTTCCAAAATGTGGCTCGTGTTAGCCCGGCGCGCATTCGTGTGGAACATTTGCAAGAACTTCACGGATTGAGGGCGGTTCCTTTTCAATATGTGGCTCTCGCCTTAGCGCCGCGCACATTCGTTTACAACATGTGCAAGAGTTTCACGGATTCCCATCACCAACGTGCCAGACATGGTGTTTAAAAATATTCCGGACTATGCGGGTGCAACAATTATGTTGAATGGATGTGTTCTGGCGTTCTGGTACGCAGACGCAACAATCAGGTTGATCCGTGGCGTTGGAATCCCGAGAACAATGTTTTGGCATGCTTCGGGGTCGACTCTTGGGTTTACACTGGTACTGCTCCTCCTCCTCCCTGCTCCTCCCCCTCCTCCTTCTGCTCCTCGCCATCATCCGTCGTCGTCCTCCACCTCCTCGTCCTCCCTCCTCCTCCTCCTCCTCCTCCTCCTCCTCCTCCTCCTCCTCGTCCTCCTCCTCCTCCTCCGCTTCCTCCTCCACCACCTCTCCTCCGTCCTCCTCCTCCTCCTCTCCCTCCCCTCCTCTTCCTCCGCCTTCCTCCTCCTCCTCCTCCCCCTCCTTCTCATTCCTCCTCCTCCTCCTCTCGTCCTCCTCCTCTCTCCTCCTCCTCTTCATCTCCTCCACCTCCTCCTCGCCTCCCTCCCGTCCTCCTCCTCCTCCTCCTCCGCCTCTTCTCACGACTCTACCTATCCTCCCTCCTCATTCTGCTCCTCACTCACCCATCATCATCATCATCATCATCATCATCATTCATCATCATCAACATCAACATCATCATCATCATCATCAATCATCAATCATCATCATCATCATCACAACATCATCATCAATTTCATCATCATCATATTCATCTCCATCATTTTCATCATCATCATCATCATCATCATCATCGTCATCACCATAACATCATCATTAGCAAAGAGCGACATCAGCGTCAGCATCATCATCATCATCATCACAACATCATCATCATCATCATCGTCATCACCATCATGAGCAGCAGCATTATCATCGTCAGCATCCTCATCCTCATCCTCATCCTCATCCTCATCCTCATCATCATCATCATCATCATCATCACCATCATTATCATCATCATCAGCATCATCACCATCACCATCACCATCACCATCATCATCATCATCAGCAGCAGCATCATCACCAGCAGCTTCATCATCATCACCACCACCATAATCATCATCATCATCAGCATCCTCATCATCATCATACTCCTCATCATCACCACCATCATCATCATCATCATGATCAATATCAGCAGCATCATCATCATCACCACCATCATCATCGTCATCATCATCCTCATCCTCATCCTCATCCTCATCCTCATCCTCATCCTCATCCTCATCCTCATCCTCATCCTCATCCTCATCATCATCATCATCATCATCATCATCATCATCGACATCGGCATCGTCATCATCATCAGCATCATCATCAGGATCACCATCATCAGCAGCATAAGTTTCACCATCAGCATCAACATCAGCAGCATCATCAGCATCAGCATCAACATCATCATCATCAGCATCATCACGCCAAAAACACTCGTCGTTGTAGTCGTCGTCCTCCTCCTCCTCCGCCTCCTCCTCCTCTACCTTCCACTTTCCCATCCCTTCTTCTCGTGTTCCTCCTCCCCCTCCCCCGCCAAGCAGAACAAAAAAGGCTCGAGCATGGGGCCGCAGGCGGATTCCTGTAGTTCTCACCGTCACCAGGTCGCCTGGAAACAATGGCCGAAGTGTGCTGCTTGACAAATAATGGGTGCGAAGAATGATTCCGGCCGCGAGACTGAGGGAAGAAAATGTTTAGGAGCTGGGCAAAAGTGCGAATCGCTCGGAATGAGTACGTCGTAAAACGAAGTAGGGACTTCGGCCCGTCCCGGAATGAATGAAGGAAACGTTGCATGTAGGTTGGGATCCGGGAATCGACAAACACTCAGCGGCCTGTACGGGAGCAGGCAGAAGGCATGACCGATGGAGACGTGGTGATGGAGATTTTCCCCAAACATGAAAAGAAGAGGGGAGACGGGAGCAAGCAGGGAAGAATGAGGAACAGCAGGATGTGGACGAACATGAGCAAACTGGGTCTCGGCAACGATCGCCTTCTCCTCCTCCTCATCTCCCTTGCCCGTGTCCATAAGAAGAGCAGTCGGTGTAACCACAAACTTTTGGAGGTCCGCATCATATTGGTGCGAAAAACTGGGGACTCCTTGGGCCAGGACCACTTCAAGCAACACCCAAATACATGTACATACATACATACATATGATATATAAACAGGAAATAACCAACTGTCGAAAAGCCACGCGCATTTCGTGGATCGGCGCTGGGCCCGACCAGCGCGCCAAGGGCGGCGCCGAAAGCGTCGCCAGGGGGCCCAACGCCGACCCGAGAAATCCGCGCGGACCTCCGATAGTTTATACTCGTGACCATTTTTACGGTTCGATTGTCCTCAGAATCGTCGTCGTCGTCGTCGTCCACCACGACAATCGGGTGCGCCAAAGATGGAGGCCAGGAAGAGGGGGGGGTCAGCGCACGATGGCCCGAGGCATGTGCGCGGACGAAGGGGGTCCAGGGGACGTGATGAGAGAAGGCGAGCGGGATATGAAGTCTGGGAGAATTCATAGCCCTGGCCATGATATCCACACACCTCTGGTCCTCACCTCCTCTTCGGCGCCTGGTGGTTTTCGGGTCATAACTCGGGCCTCTGGTAGACTCTCGGGGCGATCCAGGCCCCTCCCCCCGGACGCCTCTCGACGAAGCGCAGCTGGAGAGCACCCCGAGGCGAGCAAACCTCTGAGGTAAGACGAGAACTGCCGAACAACTGTTGGTATCCTCACCCCCCTCGTGGACGCCACCACGCAAGCGCCACGCCCCCCTGGCTGCCGCTGCCTGTTGGCGTCGCGGCGGTCCCCGTAGGACCGCAGGTAGCCGCGTAGCTGCCTCGCGCGCCGGCCGCTGGCCACTGCTCGAAAGTAGGCGAAGAGGGGTGAAGGAGATGATGGATCAAGGAAGAAAAATAGTAATAATAATAACAAGAAAAACAGTAATAATAATGATAGTAAGAAGAAGAGGAAGAGGATGCGGATGAGGAGGGAGGAAGAGGAGGAGGAGGAGTAGGAGGAGGAGGAGGAGGAGGAGGAGGAGGGGGATGGAGGGAGGAGGAGGAAGAGGAGGATTGCTCTGGGCGCACGCGTGCATGACCCGCTTGGCAAGGAGCGGGCCCTATCGGGGGGTCCTTGGGGGTTGGCGGGGGCTTGCGAAAAGCCAGCGAGCGCAAATTGGCAAACCCAGCGTGAGACTTCAAGTCAACTGAGCCGATCCAAGATGCAGCGCAACTGAACTCACGGCTTTTGCTAGGCCCGTGGAGGTCGACAGATCTGCGCCTTCAAATTCCGGTTAACTCAGACAGTTCCATGTTGAAATCTCCGCCCAGGATGAACGGCATTCTCGATGCGGCCAGTCTTGCACCTAACGAACAGAATAATTCCAGATTCCCCTCAGACAGCCCTCCACAGTCATGCGAATAGAGATTGCAAACGAAAATCTGCTTTCCGCTCGGCGGGTGGACCACCGCCGCGAGGCAACGCGGGCCCGAGAGGGTCAGGTTGGGAGGGGGCGTGTGGAGCCACAGCCAACTACCTGCCAAAATGACCACACCCGAGGAAGGGCCTCCACCGGGGCCCAGGCAAGCCATGGACCGCGGAGACCTCCAGCCGCGCCTGAAGCACCAACCCGAAGCCCTATCCAGGGCCTCCTGCGTGGTGAGATTGTTTTCATGAAGTAGCACCACAGGGGCCTCGCAAGACTCGAGCCGCGCTCCAAGCGCTGCCATTGACAGTCTGAACGTGGAGCCCCAAGGCTCCTAACTTGGGGGCGGCGGCAGGGGGCCAAGGACATCTCGTGGGAGCGAAAGCTCCAGATAAACAACTCGACTGGCGCCCCTCCCCAGGCAGAGGGGGCTGCGCGGCAGGCCTGGGGACGTCAGCAAAACAGCGTGAAATGAAGCCCCTGACGGGATGAAGCGCGCCCGAGAGTCGAGCTGGCCTCGGAAGCGGCGGCCTGCCCAGACTCGCAATATATGCGACCAGACTCGCCCGGCGGGCGGCCTCCCTCCAGCCTGGGGGGACTCCTCCTCCTCCTCCTCCTCCTCCTCCTCCTCCTCCTCCTCCTGCTCCTCCTCCTCCTCCTCGGCCCTCACCATCCTCTTGGACGCCCTCGAGCCGACCTCCAGTCTGGCTCTGCCCCACTGCCGCGGCCGCCTGGGGGGGACCAACTCGCCCCTCTTGCTGGGGGGGGGGGGGGGCGGGCTGCCACTCGAGGAACGGCACCGTCTCGACATGAGTGAACTCGTTCATCTCTGCGGCCTTTTCGCGCGACGCGGGGCGGAGGTTGAGACGTGGGTGACCGAGGCAGTGTAGAGGAGGGAGGACAGAATAGAGGGCAGAGAAACCACCCTCGCAATAAGCACCCCTGCAAGCGAAGACCCTTAGTAAACGACCCCAGCGGGGGAACCAAACGAGGCAGGAATGTTAGTAAACGTCCAGAACTGTTTAGCAAGCGCCAATAATTGGGTTCGGGAGGGTTTCCTCCCTTGGCAAGAGGTCGGAAGAAACATGCACATACACGTATCCTGGCCGAGCTCGTCCCGGGCCCATGGTCGGCGCCTGCGCCATCCTGGATTTGCCAGGGAAGCACATCGATGAGGTAAGCGATACACTCGCGCCACCACTCGCGTCTAGGGCTCCCAGCTTCGCGCTTCGCGCTCCGCGAAGCGCGAAGCGCGAATAACTTCGCGCTCTCGCGCCGCCCTCCCAAAGGGAGAATAGGAGGACGAGGAGGAGGGGGAGGAGGAACGAGGACCGCGAAGCGCGAAGCGCGAATAACTTCGCGCCCTCGAGGGAGCCCTTGCAAACTCAGAGGACCCCCCGTGACCCCCGAGGCTCGCTTGACCCTTGAGCTCCCCGAGGCAAGGGTCCTCCGCAGAGCAGGCAGCTCCGGGGGCCTGCCCGCGGCCGGGAACTCCTCCTCGCCCCTCCTGCCCTTCTCCTCCTCGACCTCGAGGTCACGGCGCCGATCCAGACACGCCCATGGCCCCCCAAGGTCCCAAATTGGTCGGCGCCCGGACCCGCGGGGTCCGAGCGGCGCCCCCGGATCTGTCGGCGCGGATGCCCAGGAAGACGACCGGTTGAGGGAAACAGATAAGCCGCAGCACGCTTACGCACTGCCGCTCGGACACTCAAACTCGGAAGATCCGAAACCAACATTGCCTTCGGGGGGAAGGGGGGGTCAAACCATATGTTGTGCGTGAGTGTTGCTTCCTATTATTAAACGCTCTCTCCCCCAACCGACTGGCAGCCAACACGGACCCATGAACCTCTCCCAACCATCCCTGTCAAAAACATTACAACATACAGCTTGCCTCCAAATAAGCAGAATGCGCGGGTACCCCGCGACCGCTTCGCCTTGGTTTTTGACGGGGGCGGCGGAGGGGCTGGAATATTGCCTGCTGTTTGCAATGCCAAAACCCACCATCATCCCTTTCAAAAAACAATATGAAGTCCACTTTGCACCAACATCTTGATCATGTGCTGACGCTCCTCGATCACGTTGAATTGATCACTTTGCATTTGTTTTTGAAAGGGGCCTCCAGGGAGCCAGCATATGGCCTGCTATGCGCAAAGCCGCCATCCATGTCAACAATCAAAACAAACTGCACTTCACGGCTCGATATGGATTATGCGCGGGCACCCCGCGATCACTTTGCATTGGTTTTTGACTGTGGCGGTGGGGGTGCTGGCAAATTGCCTGCTGCGTGCGAGCCCAACAGACATCATGATGGCCACTCCACCGCGATTGTTCATCGGTTTTCGACCACGATGGTGGAGGCCGAAATGTTTCCCGATGTGCGCGGGCGCACCTGGTGCACTCTGCATCTGCCCCGAAGGTGGCGCACGGGGCGCGGCTGGAGCAAGCGGTACACTTGGCGCACGTGGCACATCTGGCGCGCCTCGCCCCAGCGTCGCTCCCCTGGGGTCTGATGGTTCCCAGTAGCTGCTCATCCAAAGACGACAACCGAATCTGCCAAGACGCGGGAACTACGTTTGTGTTGGGAGGGCGGGTTGGAATGAGGCAAACAGTTTGCGTCCAGGAGAGGTGTCTTGACCTCTACCCCTACCTCCCCATGGATCTGGACGGAGGGGAGGGGCGAGGTGTCAGAGGGACCAAGATAATCCAAGACGACTCTAAGATGGCCCAGTCAGCCAAAGATGGTCTCCAACATCGCACATGGGAGCGCAGTATAGTCTCCGCCTCCAAGGGGCCACGGAGCCTCCCAAGGACGCCCCCGAGAAGCTAACATCATCATGTTAGTTTTGCGGTGTGGCTTCCGATTAGCTTTTCAAGCCTCAAGATGACTCCAAGGTCGCTCGAACGAGCCCCAAGAAGGGCCCCAGAAGGCTCTAAGACGGCCCTCAGAGGGCTTTCCAAAGCGCGCACGAGCACCCCGAGAGCGCCCCAAGAAGGCTCCAAATGGTGATGTTCCTTCTTTCTTGCTGCCGTTGCGTGTGCAATCCGGCTCGGGGATGGGGGGGGTTGGTAATGGGACAGCTGACCTCTTCTTTAGCGGTTGTCCTCCAAGCAACGATGCGATTGGCCCCATTACATATGAGATTAAGGATACTGGACCCCACAATATGGCCTCCAACGTCCTCCCACGAGTGCCCCGAAGATGGACGCCAAAACCCTCCATTGGTTTTGAGTACAGCCTCATTGTGTTTAAATGGTTGCTTCTCCACCGGTTTCCCCCTGCCCGTCGCGCACTCTGCGGCATCGTTCTTTCTGGATGGGGCTGGTGCGGCAGACGCGTAAGCGCTACAAGTGTCGGCATTGATAGGGCTCTGCTCACTCACCTCTGCGTCCGACCCGTCCATGGCCGCTTGGTGTGGTGTGGTCCCTCCGCTCCTTCCTCCTCCTCCCTATGCCCTCCCGACCTCCTCCTCTTCCATCCTCGCCCCAACGCGCCCCTGCCTGCCTCTCTTAGCCCCTTCCGTCTTCCACGCCTCTCGTCAGTGCTCCGTCTCCGAACGTTCCGCATCCGCCTCCCCCCTCCTCCCTCTCTCTCCTCCTCCTCCTCTCCTCCTCTCCCCCCCCGCTTCACTCCTCCTCCGTCCTACTACGACCTCTGCTCCTACTACTCCACTCTCTCCTCCTCCGCCCTCCTTCCTCTCCTCCCTGACTCTTCCCGTCTCCTACTCTCATTCTTCCTCTTCCCTCTCCTCCTCTCTCCTCCCTCCTCCTCTCATCCACTCTCCTTTTCTCCTCTCTTCTGCTCTTCCTCTCTCCTCTCCTCCTCCCTCCATCATCTCCCCTTCCTCTTTCCTCTGCCTTCTCTTTCCTCCGGGCTCTGCCTCCTCTTCCTCCTCGCCTCCTACCTCCTCCTCCTCCCTCCTCCCCCTCCCTCCTCCCTCCTTCCCTCCTTCCGCCCTCCTCCCTCCTCCTCCTCCCTCCTCCCTCCTCCCTCTTCCCCCTCCCGCTCCTCCTCCTCCTCCTCCTCCTCCTTCTCCTCCCCATCTTCCTCCCTTTCTTCTTCTGGGTCGACTACAGTACGAAGCCCACGATGTGCAGGCTGACGACGGCTTTATATCGTTCCAACAGCCATCCCGAACATCATCCCAACGTACGTCTCGAGGACTGAGGCAGGAGGAGGAGAAGAAGGACGACGAGGAGGAAGGCCAGCGCATCGAGCCGAGGTTGGCAGCGGCGACATGGGGACACCTGGCGGTCCCTCCAGATATATTCTAACCACAAAACCCCGACTACGGCGCTCGAGGAAGCCATGACCAGCAGCAAGATCAGGAGGAGGAGGAGGAGGAGCAGGAAATAGGAGGAGCAGAAGGAGGAATCAATCCGCTGGATGGCTCTGCGGCACATTTGTGCTGGCCATCGGGGCAGGTGCGAGTTGGCCACGGAGCAGCAGCGGGGCGACGACATGTGGCGGCTCTGGGGGCAGAAGAAAACTCTCCATGGGAGCCCTCCCTCTCCTCCTCGTCCTGCCTTTCCTACACCTCCTCCTGATCTTCCCCCTCTTCCAGTTCGGCCATGCCGCCCTTGACCTGACCTCCACCACGCGTTGCGCACAAACAAACTATGAGAGACATGCGCTGCCCTTCTAGCAGCGTCAACGAACCTCTGAGCAAGCCAACGATTTGAGATAGGAAGACAGTAAGCGCTAGCGAACGTACAAGGCATAACTCTTGTGCACTAGAGTCCCCTAAACGGGAGCTGCACTACACAAGCTCCGCTCCTGTCCAGCAGTTGCGCTTTCCTTGCCGCAAGCGGGTTGCTAGCTAAGGCCTGGCCAGCACTTATCCCTCGACTACGTACCCCTATTATGTCCTCCTGCTCCTAATCCAACTCCTTTCTCCCCATCTTTCTCCTGCTCATCCACGTCCCTGGCACACGGAATATCCCCTGTCAGTCAGAGAGGCAGTCCGGAAAGATGCATGCACAACGTCCCAACATCCAAACTGCTGGATCACAGCTAGAATAAGCAGAACGCTATCAGCATGGCTGGCGCGCGCTCGCCATCATGATGTCCGAGAAACGCACACCGGTCGCGTTGGCATTGGACGCCACCTGTCGCGTCATACATGCAAACAAGAGATATTGGTACGTTCGTGACTGACACAACTACGGTAGAAACGACAAGTATCCGCCACCGTGCCGCATGCACTGAGTGGAGTTTTCCCTGGTTTAGTCCAAAATATTGAGTGCTGTGCTTCCTACGGGCGCTAGGAAAGAGTCTCAGACGCCAACTCACAAGTCTCATGGGCGCTCATCGCGTGACTTTTCCCGAGGCCTCTGATCCCGGGCTCGAACCTCCAGAATCCCAACATGTACTAGAATGGCCTCAAAGGCCCGCCCTGGAGCTGTTTTGGGGCTATGTGGCCACATTGGAGGCCGCCCAGGGGCTGGCCCAAGAGACCGAAATAATATGAAATAGTCCGCAGCCTTCAGTGCTATCTATTTATAGCTGTACACATGCACACATCTATATACATACATCTATGCATATGGCGTGCCCGGAGGCACGAGTTTGAGATCCTCAGGTCCCTTTGAGTTCTCTGCGTCGAACACTGTAAGTCTCCAACCAATAACGCTTGCACTCAAGGGCCTTGCTTCTCTTCTGAAGAACTGGGCCTGGCTGTCGGTCCGGCTGGCTTGTGGCCGCCCGTGGCCACCGTCCATGTTCACGTTTTTGATTGTGCGAGGGCCTGGCTGTCGGCTTCGGCCGACTTGTGGCCGCCCGTCGCCGCCCGTCGCTGCCGTCTTCGGTCAGGATTTTGAGTGTGCGAGGCTCGCACTTTTCGTTACATTGTACTGCATTGTGTCGCAATGCACTGCAATGCATTGCTTAGGTTAAAACACGTTGGTTGATATTGCATCGGGCATGTTGCAAGAGATCATAGTTCGGTGTCCATGCTGGCTAACACTTATTGAAGGGGCCGAGGGTCAAAATTTCCAAATCGTCAGGGCGCTCTTGGACGATCCTGGGGTCGGTCGTATGGATGTTGCAGAAACCAGAGGGCGCCAAGAGGGTTCCAAGGGCCTCCAGGACAACCCAAGAGCGCTCCAAGATGCACAAAATGGCTTCAAGACGGTCCAAGAGGCCCAAGAGACCCCAAGAGCACTCCAAGAGGACCCCCACGAGGGCCCCAAGAGGCAACATCATTTGGTTTCCTGAGGTTCTTGAATGAACTTAGTGCTCTCGTCGTTTCGAGATTTCGACGTTCCAATGCTGCCCCAAATATCCACAAGATCGCCCCAAGACGGCCCGCGAGAGCACCCCCTGACGGCCCGGGATAACCCAAGAAGCCCCCGAAACGGCCCAAATAGCGAGCCCCAAGACGGCCCTAAGCGGCCAAAAACGTGCCCAAAGACGGCCCAGAAAAGCTGAATACAGCCTTTGAAAGCGCCCGGTTGCCCAAGAGCGCCTCAAGACGGTCCCAGAGAGAGAGGCCGAAGATGGCCCAAGAGTTCTCCAGGAGGCTCGAAGGAACCCCGAAAAGAGACCCTAAGGCAGCCTTGAGCATGCCCAGCGGGTCCCTCCTGAATGTTCCCCCCAGTGGTTTCCCAAACGGCTGGGGGAACATGCAGTCCACTAGCGTGGCCGCAGTTTCGCTCAACCTTTCACGACACAGCAGCTCTCACAAATATAGCGGGTGGCAGTGACTTGCCGCAGGCGTCTTCAATCCGCCGCCATCTCTAAATTTTCGAAGGGGTTCCTGGCATACCAAAATTGATGCTACTTCGGCCCAAACCACCGCCCCCCACAACTTGCGCAAAACCGTCCGTCTTCCAGGCTCCAAGATCCAGAGCAGCAAGATGTCCAAGGTGGCCTTCAAGAGGGCCAAGAGGACCTCCAATCTATCATCCAACACGGTTTAGAAAGGTCCCCCAAACCGTCGCGATGGCCCCAAGACGGCCCGAGAGGCTACCACGACGCCCAAAGAGTGTCCCAAGAGGACACCCAAGAGACCCGCTAGAGGCGAACATCATCAAAAACCATCGTATGCTTAATGATTGTAACATGCTCCCCTCTGCAATCTCGCGAGCGCCCATGATGACCCAAGAGGCCCCTAAGATCGCCCGATCGTGCCGAGACAGCCCTCGGAGTCTCCACGAAGGGCCGAAGAGGACAGCCGGAGAAGCCCCAAACGGGGAACTCGAAAGGACCTCAGAAGCCATCTCCCCTAATATTCCCTCCCCCCGTGATTGCCCCCGAGACCGCAAGCCAGCCGGCCCCCAAGGCCCCCGCAAGGGGCCAAACCAGCCCCCTATCTCACGAGGCTCCCATTAGGCCTCCGAGCGGCCCCCAAGAGGTCTCCAACAGGAAGACAGCCCAACTGCGCCTCAGATTGAATAACATCTGCCTTAAACTGTGGTCAGCGCATTCTTGCAGAACGGCAAAAAGCATCCATAAGTAAGTAGAATGCATCCCATGACTACGAAAGAGTACATCGATCCTGCTTGCCCTGGACCCCCAGAAATTGTCCTGGCCATCACCAGGTGCCAAATCAAGCCGTTGCGCGAAGCCTTTGCCACAGTTGCGGCCAGAGCCAGCAAGGAGCAACCACCAGGACGAGCAGGTACATGGGTGGACACAATGAATGCCTGGCGGAGAGATGGTCTTCCGCGCACACCATGATTCTTCATTTGGCCATGCCAGAAAAGTAGGATGCCGACGTGAATGGGAGACATCAGAACTCGAATAATGACAAGACGCAAGACATAACAAAACGGTTGAGCGGGTGGCAGCAGCGAGCGGATGGCTCGCCAGCGACGGGGCGGGACCTTCACCACGCCTCCGGGCTTCACGAACACGCGGAGTGCGCTGAAGAACAAATGCATCTGGCCCCACTTATCCAAATCACGGCGGCTCCCCGACGCAGGCTCTGCCCCATTCCGGCTCGTCGACGTGATCACGCATCAAAGAAAATCCCTGCTCGGACACATCGTGTAAAGCGAAACAGGCGCGAACACCATCTGGAGCCCCCTTTGCTTCGACACAACCTGGAGACAGTACCAAGCAACAAGCAAGCTGGGGCTTAGAAAAACCTAAATCGAACGTGCCACAAACGGGATCCCTCCGTCAAGTGTTACTCCGTTTCTTTGCGTTTTCTACTGGTTTGCTTAGCTTCGACGTGTTTTCCAGTGCAGTGTGGTGTGATGAGATGCTGTGCATTGGATTGATGTCTACTGCACTTGCATGGCAAATTCGTAGCATGAGTATTGCTTATTTTCAAGGGGGAGGTCCTCGAGGAGCGGGAGGGCATCCTCAAGGAGCCAAGAGGGATCTTTAATCCACTGCTGCCGTGGCAACCGTTACCAAAAGAAAACAAAGTGGAACAGCACGGCACACCCAGCACGTGCCGATCGTCAGGTCGAGGAACGCGAAACAACAGCAATAATTGCATAGAACAACTTTGAGCACCATGGCACTACTTGGGCAAAGCTGAATGTATGAAAGTTGCGCCGCTGTCCTTCGTCTCTCCCAATCCTCTGCTTGCATGGGTGAAGACGTGAAGACCCTCCGAGCAGCCTGCGCGAGGTCGTGCGTGTGTGTGTGTGTGTGCGTGAGAGAAAATCTCGGATCACGCGGAGCCCCGATCACATCCACGGTAGTGGGGCTGGCGAAACTGGTAAATTTGACCTGACAGTCCCAATCGTAACACAACGTGGATCTGCGAGGGAAGATGGTTACGGCTCTTGATCTGGATTTACCTACGGGTCCGAATTCAGTACCCAGCAACTGTTGGCCATCAACGCTCTGCAATTGCATGAGATATCGAAAACTGCCACGTTGATACCTTCTGCTTTTCCCCCTCCCCACTCCCTTCTCCTCCCCCTCCTCCTCCTCCTCCTCCTCCTCCTCCTCATCATCATCATCATCATCACCATCCACATCCACATCCACATCCACATCCACATCCACATCCACATCCACATCCACATCATCATCATCATCATCATCATCATCATCATCATCACCACCACCACCACCACCACCACCACCACCGTCATCATCATCATCATCATCATCATCATCATCATCATCATCATCATCATCATCATCATCATCATCATCATCATCATCATCCCCTATCTCGCTCATAGCTACTGCTGCTGATCCATCCATAACCCACTCTTGCTATTTTAAAATTGCTGCTGGACCTGTTTGCCGGAACAGCACTCGGCCGTAGCTCTCAGTACGTCACGCTTACAGTGGGCGCGGATGGGATGTGGCGCTCCTGACTGGCTGTTTGGGCGGCGGGTTGAGGGCTGGCGGCACCTTTTAGGTTTTGTCTGATGATGGTGCGACCGTTGGTATTATGTTGGCGTCGCTCGATGCATGAGGTGGGCTGTTCGCGATGCAGCTGGGCAACTTTCCTGCCCTCTTGAGGTGGGCCCGCAGCCTGTCGTTGCCCGTCACCTGATCTTTGATATGCCAACTGCTCATTACGATGGCCTTAGTGAACGCCATCTTATCTCTGCTGTATATGATTGGTAGGCTGGCATGCTGATGATTTGCAGCGGCTGCTGCGAAAGATTTGAGACTCTGGTCTCTGAAGGTCTTGAAGCATGCCGGGTGTTGCGGCGGTTCTTTGCATCCGACCTTTTGTATGGCAACGTGATTGCGCACAGGCACGGCGTTGTTGTTGATGATTGTGCCGAGCCTGATTGTGGCGGTGCCGATGTTCTTATCCGACTTGTCTTGCTGCGCTTCTGTCTGTCTGGGTGATCTTTATTGGTCTGGTGGCTCTGGGGGCCCTTTGCCCCCCAAAGCCAATGCAAGCTGTCCTCGCCAGCCCCATGCGATGCGACAGTTGTTGAGAAGCGCTCGTGCGCTTGCAATGCGCAACAACGCTCGCGCGTCGACACGCGCTCGTCGTAGCCGCTTATGCCACGAGACGCTGTGGGAGCGTGTCGTGGATGTCGCGGTGGTGATGGGTGAATGCGTAACCCCACACAAAGCACAAGAGCCTGTGCCTGTGAATCGCGGGCGCGCGGGTGCAGCGCTTGCCCGCTTCGTTTGTGCCTCACCCCCGTACAAACCTCTCGGGCGATCGCGGCCCCCCGCCCCCTACACCTCCTCCTCCTCCTCCTCCTCCTCCTCCCCCTCCTCCTCCTCCTCCTCCTCTTCCTCCTCCTTATCTTCTATTACTTGCCCCTCTTCATTCCTCCTCCCCCTTCCACGCTCGTCTTCGATCATCCATCCCCATCGCCATCTTCATCCTTCTCCTCCTTCCTTTCTGCTCCTCCCCGCTAGTCCTCGTATTTCCTCGCTCTCTCCATCGCTCATCCACCTCCACCTCCATCTGAACCCTGCTTCTGCAGGCTGAATGCAAGGGTGACCCTAGGCAAAAATGGCATTTGGTGCGCGGCTTGTCAGCCGTTGCATGCGATGCGACTGTAGCGGCCTGCGTGCTTGGGTTTGCCCCCCCCCTCCCTCCCCTCCCCCCCACGTCCCCCGAAAGCCGCGCCTAAAAGGTAGCGCCAATCTCCTCAGCTTCCTCGCTCCTCCTCGCTCCGCCGCGTTTTTCCTATCTTTTGCGTTTCCTCCTCCCCCTCCTCCTCCTCCTCCTCCTCCTCCTCGCTTCCGCATCGCTCTCGCTCTTCCTCCTCCACCTCGCCCTTCAGCACTCCTGCATTCGATCCTCCTCCTCGCTCTCTGCCCCCTCTCCTGCCTGGCCGCCCTGGCCGAGCAGCCCCGCCGCCCCCGCCAAGTTCTCGTGCCGCCACCGCACGAAAGGGTGCCCGTCGAAGAAGCCGCCGACCTGCCGTGGGGCCCCCTCCCGCCCGACCGTCCTGTGGAGTACAGGGCAGGTTTTAATACATGGGATGTTTAAACACATTAGATTTTTAAGAATGATTAATGTATGAATAAATTTAGGCATGACCTCATGGTTGTTTTTAGTTCAAAATCCCTTTTATTTTTAATACATGATCCGCACGCGGAGCATGTATGAAAAACGGCACTGTACAGTGGAGGCCAGTCCACAAGAAACCTTCCACAGGAAACCCAACCCTCAAACCCCAGGTCGTCGATGGATTCTTGGCGTGGGAACGTCACGCCCTCCGTCGAAAAACCATCGAAACCCAAGAAACCCAGGGCACTCTGGAGGCAAGCAGGGTGTTTCTTGCCATGGGCCTCCACTGTATACCCCGCCCGCCATTCGGCTGCTCCAAATGCAGCATCAGCCAACATCGGATCGGGAAATCGGACCAGATCGAATCTGCGTCGGACCCGAGATGATCCGATCGCATCGGCACAAATATTCGGAATTAAGTCGGATCGGCCACGCCAGGATGCACAATAGCGAGCGCCATGCAAGCGTCGGGCCGCACCAGATCGTCGGAATACCAGAATCGAATCGGACCAGGCCGGCCAAAATCTTCTGTGGCAACTCATGGCAGCCTCCCATACCATCAAGTTGGCTCTTGCGAATCGACGCTAGCCGACGCTAATCAACGCTAATCGACGCTGAATATGACGGAGCCCGTGAATTCCTACATCCTCCTGTCCATCCTCACCTACACGATGCTCATCCTCTCCTGACCCTGCTGCCGCCCTGCCGCCGTTCTGGCCCTACCAGGGCCCTGGACCAATCATACTGTCGCGCCCGTGCTGGGCGCGATGGACTGGCCCGCCGCGCGGACTGGCACAAAAAAGAACTGCGTTTATCAAACGTTGCCTTTGCGACTCCGCCAGTGGTAGCGGAGCCCGCCCCTGCGGGCGATCCACGGATCTCCGGCCTCGACCAAATCGAGAGGGCATCACGAACCCGAGTTCGACAGCGTGGGGCTCAACACTTGCGGGTTCGAGTTCGACACCGTCGGGCTCAGCATCATCTGGTTCGAGCTTGACAGCGTCGGGAGCAGCATCTACGAGGTAGAATTCGACAGCGTCGCGCAGAGCATCTACCTCGCGAGTTCGACAGCGTCGGGCACCAAGATCAATCAGAGGAGAAGGCTCAGCGTGAAGGCGAGTCGGGCTACAGCCTTACTTTGGTGTGGGATGGGGATCCCCAGGGCTGGAGGCGATATCGTGACGACGTAGAGATATGGGCCCTGGAGATAAACTTGAAGTGAACTACTGCGTGTCAGTGGCCTCACCTCATTGAGGAATTGCTCGCCGAATGGGGCTAAAAACTCCTCGGGATCAACTTCAGCCACTCCTGGCACAGCCGGCACAGCTCGACGAGGACGGCGGTGTGATCGAGGAAGCTCCGCCAGCCGACTACATTGAAGGAATCAACAGTGTGCTGATTGCCCTGGAGACAGCTCTGTGCGCAGATGCGAGACCATGGGCAACTTCTTCAAGCGTGCGATACAACAGGAGGGCTGGCGAGCGCATGACGGACTACGTGGCTCGCTTTGAGGAGTTCAGAGGCTCGAGGACGACGGAGTGAGATTCGCAGATCAAGACGACATCCTGGGCTGGTGGTTCTTGGAGAAGTGCAGCCTCTCAGCAAAGATGAGGGAGCGCGTGGTCCCGTCGCTCCCAGACGACCGCTGCGCACATCGAGATATTAAGGCCATCGTGATCCGCATCTTCCCAGATCTGCACGTGAACGAGACGAGAAGGTCGGGTCCTCCGCAGCGGTTCCAACAGCAGCAGCGCGGAGGCCCACCACGGCACGGAGGTCACAGGCGCTCCGCGGGCAGCGGCTCGTCAGGCCCCGAGGGCGTCAACGTGACCGAACGCGAGGACGACCACGACGCGGAGGGCGAGAAGCTCTCCCAGGAGGAACACGACGAGTACGGCGACTACGACGACGGCGCCGACGAGGTGAACGAGGTCGGCGTCATCGAGATCCAGGGTTCGTGCGCCAAGAACTCGAGGCGTTGGCGACGGAGCTGGAGGGTGCCGGCATCGACCTCCCGTCTGAGCAGACCGCCGCCCTGCGGGAGGCTGCCCTGTAGGTCTCCCAGCTGCTGGAGGCCCTCAAGGTGATCTGCGACGCGCGCGGGCGCATCCAGGGGCGGTAAGGTGGCCAGTCCACGGGCTGTGACAAGTCGCGTGGGAAGTCCGCCGGCTCCGCGGGCAGGCCTCCATCAAGGCCTGGTGGCCCTGACAAGGGCCAGGAGCTTGCCAAGTGCTTGAAGGATCGCAAGGTAAGATCGACCTGCAAGGGCTGTGGCAAGAAAGGGCACTGGGCAGGAGACACGGAGTGCGAAGCCCCTTGCACGGCCGGCCAGAGACTCCGACTCCCGCAACGACGCGCTTGCGGTCGCGAGGGCCGAGACGAAGGAGCAAATGAAGGAGGTGCTACATGGCGAGCTGGTGAGCCAGGCCAAGGACTATCCACGAGGTGTGGTCGACACCGCGTGCGTCATCTCGGTGATGGGCGATGTCTGGTGGAGGCCTTCTGCGAGGTGGCAAAGGAGCTCGACATCGACCGCATGATCGAGCGCGAGCAGGTCAGCGAGAAGTTCAGGCTCGGCGACAGCGGCACGCTCCACTCCTACGAGGCGCTCAAGTTCCCGGCCGTGGTGGCGGGCATGCCCGTGGTCGTGCGGGCCTGCGTAGTCAAGAGTGATAGGCTCGGCCTCCTCCTCGGCCGCGACTTCCTGGAGGCGATCGGCGCGAGCATCGACATCGAGAGGAAGAAGTTCACCGTGGGCTCGGGCTTACAGCAGCTGCTGGCCTCCGAGAATCGCCACTTCGCCCTAGGGAGAGACGTGCAAGGCGCTGACCGAAGCGCACGCGGGCAAGTAGGAACTGCAGCTTCCGCCGAAGCTTGGACATGGCGTACGGCAGGTTCGTGTCGTGGCGACCCTGGCACTGGCTTCTGACACCGCGCGGATCGTTCCACCTTGAAAGATCTGCGGCTTTTCCATCGCCCGATCGTTCCATACGGGCCGATTCTGGGCCACTGGCGGCGTTCCACCTTGAACGCCCGCGGCGGAATCGCCGCCTGTCAACATGACGCAAACCTACCGCACGTGCTTTTCCCACCCCCGCCGGGGGATGGGGTCTCTGGTCCTCAGGGTCTGCGCCATCGCCGCCTCGGTGGGCGATTCCAGGGCGGCTGCCAACTTCACGACGGCAGCCGGACGGCTCGAAAGTCAGGACGCCCCTTCGGGGCTCATGTCGTCGCCAGCCGGACGGCTCTAAGGATCTCGAAGGTCTGGACGCCTCTTCGGCGCTCAGGTCGTCGCTCACGTCTGCCAGACGGTTGGAAGAAGGTCAAGACCTCCCCACGAGGATCGAGTCGCCGAGGGTTTTTTCTGGACCCAAATACTGTGAGGACCTTGCCAACTCGACCTGGGCTATGAAAAGAATGACGGGAAACATGTCCGTGACGACGGCAATGTATACCACCACTGGTGCATGATCAACGTGCTGCAAGGAGGCCTCCCTTTTCCCGTGCCGGGTTTGCGGCATGAGCACGTGCGCGCCATGTTTCAGAGGACTGTAGTGCTCAAGGTGCTTCCACGGCGTCAGCAACGTCACGACGGAGGTCGGGCGAGACGCCGAGTTTGCAGTACAGCAACAGTCATGGAGGGGACTCCGATCGGGCACGGCAGCGCAGCACAAGGCGGGAGCACGGCAGACCAGCACACTACACACAAGCATGGAGTTCGACCAGCATTTGCACGAAAGGCTCTGGAGGCCCAGCTGAACGACAACTGGAAGAACTTGGTTTCGACGGCGTCGAGAGCGGTGCGATTTTTTTCCCGCGCTCACAGGCTGGGCGAGTGCCTCGCGACCACCTGCGGACCCCCTCGTTAGTCACCCTCCGCGCCGCTTCCAGCGGTGGAGGGGGGCCGAGGGCGAGAGCGGTGCGAAGTACGAGGCCACGAAGGCCGCGCCACCTCGCGGAGTGCTGCCGAGAGAGCGACAGCGTGCCTTCGGAGCAGTGGACCACGGCAGGCGGCAGGGCTCACGAGCTCGGGCTGCCCCATCACGACCCGCGGATTCCACGGGCGGCAAGGACGGCGAGCAGCATCCCGAAGCATGCGTCTGGCGAGACTGATGGGCGAGCAAGCGTGCGGTAGGGAAGCTTGCCCAGCGGCCCCTGGTCAGGGCTGCAGAACCTCATGACGAATCGCGCCCGGCTTGCGATCGACCGGGCCGAGAGCAGGCACACGATCAAGCTGTTCACCGCCGAAGTCAAGCGCTCGCTGTGCTTTGGCGCGCTCGTCGTTTTCGAATAATTAGCTGGTCCATTGTCACGGCTGGAAGGAGCCCGCGATCATCAACCTTAAGGATATGCTGCCCGATGAGTGCGTCTTCGATGCGCTTACGGCTTGAGGGACGATCGGACGGCCAAGTACGTCAGGAAGCCATGGAAGATCATCACCAACCACCAGCCGCTGCAGAAGTATCTTAACAGACGCTACCAGCATGACCATGAGCATCTTCAGGGGAGAGATTTCAACAGAAAGACCTCTCACAAGACAGGTCTCTACACGGCTGGGCTGTGCAAAGCGGTGGTCAGCGGCTTCCTGAGAGGCATAGCGGACGTCAACTACACCCTCGTCACCCTGGCGAACCATGCAGCCACAGGGTACCCTCGGAACACTGGAGAAGGAGCAACGAACCACCCTGCCCAAGGCCATGGCTAAAATGCACACTCATCTGCACTCATCTGGGACACCCAGGCAACCGGGCACTGTCGAGGGCGAATCAGTTGGCAGGCCGCTCGAGATACGCGATCGCAGCCGCCCTCGTGCACCACTGCCCGACATGCGTCAAGCTGGCGCCTCTACCATCGACGGCAGCGCCATCACTTCGCGATCGTTGGAGGGCGTCGCCGATTGGCCATCAATACGTTCGAGGTGGCCGACGCCCAGAATATCAACAATATCCTCCTCAACATGGTCGACATGGTCAAGGCAAGTATCGAGGGTGCACGCGAGCAGATAAGAGCGAACAGTCTTCAACTTACCTTTGTTGTTGCTGCTGAACTTTCATTTCTGAAGAATACCTGTTGTTGATCCCCCCCACCTGGTGCACGTTGTATTTGTTCGATTGACTTGCCCCTCCCGGGGCTCGCACCCGGTTTTTTATCAAGGAAGGTCTTGAAGGTCAAACTGTGTCGTTGGCCCCCAGTTTACAACAACAACAACAACAACAACAACAACAACAACAACGGCTCCCGCCTGATACTTCCAAAAATCGCGCTCTCGCATGGGACTTCCTGGCAATGTACCACCGAATCGCAGCTCCCGCCTGATATTTCCTGACGATGTATTGCAGAATCGCGTTCTCGCTTGGGACTTCCTCTCAACTTACCACCGAACCGCTTCGATTGATATTTCCTCACAATTTGTTCAAATGCCGGTCCTCGACACTCAGGAATCGAGCTCCCGCTACATATTGCCTAGCGGTTCAAGCAGGACTCACGCTTCAACGACCCGCCCGCTCGACCCGCCCGTCGGGGCCTGCTCGCCAGACCAGCCCGTTAATGGCTGCAGTCGCCGCTCGCTGCCCTTCGCCCGCCTTCGATGCCCCTTGCTGCCCGTACTGGTTCCGCGGTCGCTTTCGCTCGCTGCCCTTCGTGGCCCCGTTGCTGCCCTCAGTGGCCCCGTCGCTGCCCTTTCTGGCCCCGCATTATATGCCCTTCGTGGCCCCCGCTCGCACGCGCCCGTCGTGGCCCCATACGCATGCCCTTCGTAGCCCCGCTGTCGCCCTTCGTGGCCCCCTCGCTACCCTTCGTGGCCCCTTTGCTGCTCTCAGTGGCTCCGCTGTCGCCCTCTGTGGCCCCGTATACGAATGCCCTCCGTGGCCCCCGCTCGCTCGCGCCCGTCGTGGCCCCATATGCATGCCCTTCGTGGCCCCGCTGTCGCCCATTGTGACCCCCTCGCTGCCCTTCGTGGCCCCGGTGCTGCCCTCAGCGGCTCCGTCGCTGCCCTCTATGGCCTCGGATTTTATGCCCTCCGTGGCCCACGCTGGCCTTTCTCACGATTTAGTTGGGAATCGCGCTATCCCTCGAGACTTCCTCGAGATTCATGCAAGACCCACGCTTCAGCAACCCGCCTGCTCGACCTCGTCGCCTGGGCCCGCCTTCCCGACCTGCCCGCTATGGGTCTGCCCACCCGACCTGCTCGTCTGGTTCTACCACTTGTTTCCTGTTCCTTGCCCCCCTCCTGCTATTTTCTCTCGTGCTCCTTTCTTCTCCCTCCCGCTTCCACCCGTCCTCTCTTCCGTTGTTTTCGGGGCTGCACTAAATACACGTGGCAGGTAAGGAAGATATCCCCAAAGGGGTACGATCGAAAACGACGAGGGCGGGTACCGAGGGTTGGGGATATACGTTTTGATTGGCACGTGAGCAGATAGGAGAGAACAATATTCAACTGATGGTAGTTGTTGAACTCTCATTCCTGAAAAGAATTATTGTTGATCCCCCCCGTCCGGTGCACACTTGTTTTTTCGATTGAAGTGCCCTTCCTGGGGTTCGCAACTTGTTTTTAATCAGGGAAAGTCTTGAGGGTCAAACTGTGTCGTTGGCCCCCACTTTACAACAACAACGGCTCCCGCCTGATACTTCCTCACAATTTATTGAAGAATCGCTCTCTCGCTTTGGACTTCCTCACAAATTACCACCGGATCGCGGCTCCCGCTTGATAGTTCTTCGCAATTGATTGAAGGATCGCGCTCTCGCTTGGGACCTTCTCGGAACGTACCACCGAATCGCGGCTCCCGCCTGATACTTCCTCACAATTTATTCAGATGCCGCTCCTCGACACTCAGGAATGGCGCTCCCGCAACATTTTGCCTGGCGGTTCAAGCAGAATGTACGCTTCAACGACCCGCCCGCTCGACCCGCCCGTCTGGGCCTGCCCGCCCGACCAGCCCGTTAGGGACTGCAGTCGCCGCTCGCTGCCCTTCGCTGCCTTCGATGCCCCTCGCTGCCCGTACTGGTTCCGCGGTCGCCTTTGCTCGCTGCCCGTCGTGGCCCTGTTGCTGCCCTCAGTGGCCCCGTCGCTGCCCATTGTGGCCCCGCATTATATGCCCTTCGTGGCCCCCGCTCGCACGCGCCCGTCGTGGCCCCATACGCATGCCTTCCGTAGCCCCGCTGTCGCCCTTCGTGGCCCCCTCGCTGCCCTTCGTGGCCCCTTTGCTGCCCTCAGTTGTGGCCCCGCTGTCGCCCTATGTGGCCGCATAGAAGAATGCCCTTCGTTTCGTTTTCAAGGGCTTCACCAACCACACGTGGCAGGGAATGAATATACCCCCCAAAAGGGGGCAGAATCGAAGAGGAAGAGGGCGGGTATCCAGGGTTTGGGATATGCATATTGAATGACACGCGAGCAGATAAGAGCGAATATTCTTAAACTGATTGTTGCTGTGGTTGTTTTTTATTGTTGTTATTGTTGTTGCTGGTGTCGTTGTTGTTGTTGTTGCTGTTGTGTTGTGTTGTTGATGTTGGTGTTGTTGTCGTCAGTTTCTATGTTGTTTGTCTCTCTTTATCTCTCTCTCTCTCTCTCTTTCTGTCTCTCTGTTTTGATTATCTTTCTCTCTCTCTCTATTTTCTCCCTCGCTCTCTCTTTTTTTTTTTTTCTCTCTCTCTCTCTCTCTCGCTCTTCCTCGGAAGCAACATGGTATAGCCGGCGGTTTAAAGCGAACGACTGGGTTCATAGCAAACTATTGCAAGCGGTAGTACTTTCTCTCTCTCTCTCTTTCCCTACTTTCCTCTCTCGACCCCTCCCTCCCTCCCCCTCCATGCCTCGCTCTCTCTCCCTCTCCCTCTCCCTCCATCGCTGCATACTTGTCCCCTCGATCCTGAAGGCATACAGCACTCAAGGTGCAAAAAGCCGAAATCACAGATGAGGACGACGAAACACGGGACGCATTAATCGGTCGAATCGAATCACAAACATTGGAGGCAATACAAAAGGCTTGCCCCACTGGAGGAAACATGCAATGAGCAAAAGCAGCAGGAAGGAACAGGAGTGAGAACAGCGAAATCAAGGGTGGCATCGGCAGGATCCGGCGTGGTCTGGCTGCTGTGGAACGAAAGATGTCAAAACTGTTGCTACACTGCATTCGGCTCGGTCGGCATTCAGATATGCAAAGAACTGGACTTCCCAAAGTCGGAACTCGGAAACCAGCTGTAAGCTCGTGAGCTCGGGCTTTCGATCCTGGTGGTCATGAGCTTGGAGCTGCTGCATCGAAATATATCAATCAACACACACACCATCCAATGTCGCGCCTGTCATCGTACATAAAATGTCAATGCCCCGCTCCGAAACCGTTCTGGCTGGAGCACGTGCCACACCAGCGCGAGCTCAGCAGCAGAGGCAGAAGCAGAAGCAGAAAGTGCTGGCATAGAATGGCACCCGAAGGGCAGGACAAGATCATATGATATGCTGCACGCGTGCCGCCCACTATGCAAACTCAGAGATGCGGCTCTCCTACTCGACCTTGTCCGTCGCTCGCCATCGCCAGTCTCCCAGCTCCATGTCTTTACAGAACCGCCTGAACACATCCTCGAATTTCATCCATCTGCGCCGGAGAGGCCGAAGTGGGCGCCAGAGAGGCCGGAGGGCGTCCAAGTTCAGTAGCGTGCTGCGTTGACCCTGGATCCCATCCGACGCGTTCGGTCCACCACGATTGTGCGCAGCACAGTGCCAAGCGAAACCCTTTTCCCTCCCTCTTCCCTTCTCCGGCAAAGAAGAAGCTGGGGCTCACACCACGCCGGCATGTGGAAAGTTATAGTATACAGCCCCGAATTTGCCAGTCATGCCCTTGAAGCGGGGGTCCACCTGTAACTCCGCGCGGGGTCAAGCGATACAGTAATTACCCCAACCCTCCCCCTCTTCCTCCTCGTCGTCCTCCTCCTCCTCCTCCTCACTCTCCTTGTCCTCTTGCTTGTCGCTTTTGTCCTCGTCCTCATTTATCCTCCCAAGGTGCAGCTGTAAGATCGCTCACATTGGTGTCTGAACTTTTCGGCTCAGAAGCAAAGACATGCACATGAGACCGTCCACACTTCCACTCCAAGAGAACTTCCCAAACCAACTGCTGTGCACTCTCACCATCAACTGTTGATACCTGTTTATCCAGTGCGCTGGCATACCTGTGCCCCGAGACATCCAGGAGTAAGATGGGGACACGTGGGAGTCACACCCGCCCTCTGGGCATAGGTGGTCTAGAGAGCTTTCTCTTCCAACCACCTTACCCTTCGGGGAGGGGTTTCCCCCTCCCCCTGCCCCCTCCCCTGGACCTGGAGGGGGGGTTCCGCGAGGCGTTGGAGCGTCCAAAATGGCCCAAGATGGCTCCAAGAGGGCTTCAGAGAGCCCAAGATGACCTCTATGATGGCTCAAGATAGCCTAAGATGGCTCCAGATGGCTCCCAAGGTGCTCCTGGAAGCCCCAAGGCCGCTCCAGGACGGCTCCAAGTGGCCACGGAACCTCCCCAGGAGGCCGCCAAGAGGCCAATATCCTTTAACCACATAAGGAGAACCAATAACTTTGGCCTTCTCGCCTTTTTTCTGTCGATGGCCTTCCGAGGCCTCAAGACAGCTCCAAGAGAGCCCCAAGACGACCCCAAGAGCGCCCAAGAGCGCTCCAAGGGGGGCCAAAGAGGTTATTTTTGGGGCTCCCGAGGGGGGGATCGTAATTGGAGCTCCTGTCTTGTTTGATCGCTCTCCTCCAAGATGGCCCCAAGAGCGCTCCCAAGGCTCCCAAGAGCGCCTCAAGAGTGCCCCAAGAGGCGCCCAGGAGGCCCCAAGAGGCGCCCAAGAGGCCTCCAAGAGGCTCCCAAGAGACTCCCAAGAGGCCCCAAGAGGCTCCCCGAGGCGCCTAAGACACTCCAAGAGGAACCCTCCTCTGTGTCCTGCCCACTTCTCTGATCGAGGCAACTCCTCTGGGCATCGTCTCTGGATGGGCTGGTGGGTTCTTTTGTTCGCGAGTGCGAACGGAAGTGCCGCGCGCCGTCCAGAGCTACAGCTAACAAGCCGGAGCTTGAATTGCACACGAGGGAGGAAAAGAGAGACAACAAGAGAGAAACCACAAGGCTGATAGGGGTTACGCGAAGCGTCAAGATTTGTTCGCCGCGCGGCATTGGTCACTGCGGGATTTTCTGACAAGAAGGGAAGGCTACCATTCATCCTCCTCCCGTTCGCATCATTGCTAATATTGATCTCAGCCACTCGCTATCCTTACCTCTCCTTGCTCCGCGCTGGTCGCGATTCGATTGGGTTTGGAACCTCCTCCTCCTCCTGCTCCTCCTCCTCCTCCTTCTCCGCCGCATTCCTCCTCCGCGGCCACAAGAGCAAAAACCCACCGGAGCCGCTGGCCAGTTTCACAGCCACTGCTGGCGAGACCCCGCCGAGGGCCTGCTCTGTCCCCTGCGCAGCCACGCACGCAACACTTGTCTACGTCATGGAAAAGACGATCTGTCGAAGAACTGCCCCAGCCAACCCAAACCATCCCCTCGGCCAACCCCGTCCAAGCCTCCCAGCCAACACCTCCGGCTAACCTTGGCTACGGTAATTCTTGACTTCAGATATCCGCCACCGTGCCTCTGGGCACGGAGTGGGCGTTTCTCAGGTCCTTTGCCTCATCCCTGGAGCCTCCGTCCTCAGTCCTAAGGAATGTTTTAAGAGGACCAGACCCAAATTTCCGAAATCTCCTGGAGCCACGTGGTCCCTAGGCCCAAGAGGACCCCAAGACGGGCCAAGAGGGCCCCACGAGGCCCACAAGATGGTCCAAGAGGGCCCCGAGACGCCCAAAGATCGGCCCAATACGCCCAAGATGGCCTCAAGATGGCCCAAGAGGCCTCCAAGACGCCCCAAGAGGCCTCCAAGCGGCCTCCCAACAGGGACTCTAGAGGCAAACATCATTGATCTTCCTTTGGTTTTTGAAGGATTTGGGCGTTCTCGCCTTTTCGGCTTTCCGACGCTCCAAGACGGCCCCCCAACCCCCCCCAAAACGGCTCAAGAAGCCTCCAAGAGGGTCCCAAGACGGTCTAAGAGCGCTGCAAGACGGCCCAATAGGCGCCTAAGACGGCCCAAGAGGGCCTCAAGACGGCCCCGAAAAAAGAGCCTAAAAGAGGGAACACGAACCGAACATCCGAGCCTTCAGCCCCAAGAGTCCCCCAGGAGGCCCCTTACAACCCTACACCCCTACGGGAGGCCTCTGGCAATAGTCGCATCCGCGACTCGCTGTACATCGTCAAGAGAAAGTCCGCTGCGCAAGGGGGCGCGGGCCCGCCGCAAGGCGGGTGCAGTCCACGTCGTGCAGCACCTCTGGGCTGGTCAGGGCAGGGAGCTGATAGGATTCGTGGCTCTATCACAGTGCGCCAGGACCATCGAGTTTGGATCGCTGCGCCTGGCTCTGGCTGGCCCTGGGTCGGCGAATCGAGCCGAATCGAATCGAATCGAATCGAATCGGAATCGCGGCCCTGGCTGGCGAATCGAGTCGCATCGAATCGGATCGCAGGCGGCCCTGAAGGCCCCTAGACGTCCAAATTGAAGCCGATGCTGGCAGCCCATGCCACATGGCCAAGGGCCAGGATGGGTCGAGAGGCGAGGATGCAAGGGCACATCAGGAAAATTCTTTGTTCTTTTTGTTCGAGGAGGAAGAATGAACGCGACCACAGAACGTCACCTAACTCGGCTTCGACCGCTGTGGAAAATTACTCATCCCTGGGGCAAGTTCCTGCGACGAAACCGCGGGCTATGGCTTCCGTCCCCACGCGCTCCACTCGATGTTCAAAGATCTGCGTCACCAGGAGTCCCCGGACGCTGTCGTGGGCAATAACTTTGAACAACCGCGCCCGCGCTGTCGCCGCGCAGAGACGCCACAACTATGCCCCACCCTGACGGCGTGGCTGCCGCTGCAGCGTCGCTCACGCCACCATTATCCTTCCACTCCTGCGCGGCTGGTACTCCCAGCTCGTGTCATCCCAGAGATTCCCGCCGTCCCTCTCCTCACGCGAGCGCTCTCTTTCCTCTCCCGCTGCTCGGCCACGGCGTTCCCACTCCCCATCGTTCCCCGCTGTTCCCACTCCTTCCACTCCCCACCACCTACCTCCCACTCCCCCGCCTCCTCCCCTCCTCCTCCTCCTCCTCCTCCTCCTCCTCCTCTCCTCCTCCTCCTCCTCCTCCACCACCACCACCACCACCACACACCACCACCACCACCATCATCATCATCATCATCATTCATCATCATCATCATCATATCATCATCATCATCATCATCATCATCATTCATCATCATCATCATCATCATCATCATCATCATCATCATCATCATCATCATCATCATCATCATCATCATCATCATCATCATCATCATCATCATCATCATCATCATCATCATCATCATCATCATCATCCTCTCCTCATCCTCATGCTCGTCCCCATCCTTCTCATCGTCGCCTGCTTTGTATCCCTGTAGTCGTCCTCCTCAACGTCCTCCTCCTCCTCCTCCTCCTCCTCGTCGTCGTCGTCGTCATCGTCGTCATCGTCGCTGCCGTCGTCGCCGTCGCCGTCGCCGTCGCCGTCGCCGTCGCCGTTGCCGTTGTCGTCGTCGTCGTCGTCGTCCTCATCCTTGTCATCGTCGCGGTGGTCCACCTCGCCATCCCGCCCCCGTCCGCCTGTCTCCCGCAATGAGTTTCAGTGTCCGCTAAACACTAGGTGTGCAGCCACCGCTAACACATTGCCCACTGGCGACTCCAAAGAAAGATGGCACAGAATAGCCCGTCGCCGCTGCTGGTGCTGCTGGCGATGAACTCCGAGAGGAAGATCGAGAAAGGACAAGAGGAGGACGTTTCCTTCGAAGGTCAGCACTGCAAGTATGGCAAGCTAAGCGTGCGCGTATCTGGACGGCTGCAGTTCGCTGGTCGGTTGCCCCGGTTTCTTTGAATGGTCCAGGGCCCCCAAATCTACTAGCTCGGGCGCGCACCGGGGCCCCAAATCAGCTAACCTGGGCGTGCACCTGGGCCTCAGATCTAATCACCGAAGCCCGAAGCCCCAAATCTGTTGCCTCGGGCGCGAACCGGAGCCCCACATCTGCTTTGCAACTCGGGCGCGCACCCGATGCCCCAAGTATGCTGACTCGGGTGCGCACTGAGGCCCCAAGTGTACTAACTTGGGCGCGCACTGGGGCCCCACAATCTGCTAACTTGAACGCGCACCGATGCCCCAAATCTGCTAGCCGAGGCCCCAAATCTACTAATCTGGGCGCGAACCGAGGCCCTTGATCTACTGACTCGGGCGCGCCCTGGCGCCCCAAATCTACTCAGTTTGGGGACCACCGAGACCCCTAAGTTAGTAGAGCAGGGGCCGCGGTGCGCGCCCGAGTTAGTAGATTTGGGGCCCCTATGCGCGCCCTGGGGCCTCAGGGCGCGCCCGAGTTCAAAAAATGCGGGGCCCTGTGGTGCGCGCACGAGTCAGTAGACTTGGGGCCTCGGTACGCGCCCGAATGAATAGATTTGAGGGCTCCAGGCAGCCCGAAAAAGGCTTCAAAGAAGGGTGCCAAGATTTCATCCAACCCCCTCGCCCCCGAATTTCAATGTCGATCGACGTGCGCAGCGCGGCCCGCGGGATCCGAAAAAGTGCAGTCGCCAGTTTCGACGCGAGCATTCAAATTGGAGGTCCGGGGACGCCGCCACGTCGCGGGACAAAAACTTGCGTTCGATTTCGAGGAGGGATGTGCTGACTAGCCGAGGCTGCAGCACCAATCAGGCGCCATGTCGTTACACTGGAACTTATGGGCCCTATGGGACTTGTGGGACGGACCTGCGGGACCCGTGGGGCATGTGGGACCAGTGGGGCCCCTGGAGCCTGCAACCTATGGGGCCCGAAGGACCCGTGGGTCCTGTGAGACCAGTGGGACCTGCGGGCTCAGTGTGAGCCTTGGTATGTTTGACACGTGTGGGCCTGCGCGACCTGTAGGACTTGTGCGCGAGGCGAGAACATTATAGGGACCTATGTGACCTGTGGGGCCAGTGTTGGGCCTGTGGGAGGTGTGCGACCTGTGGGGACCTGTGGGGCCTGTGAGACCTGTGGGATATCGCTCGGATAACTAACGTAAAGCGCGGACCCCATGAGGAGGGGCTCCCGCACGAGAATTCCCCGTGTTCACTCGCAGACGAGGCCCCCGACTGAGACATCCTCCATCTTCAGGCCTCAAGTTCCCCAAGTGACGACGATTACACGTTTCCGAAGACCCGCTCGGCTTACTAACTTGAAGTTGGGCCCGATAGGGAGAGAGCTCCCGCTCGAGACATCACAGACGAGGCTCCCGCTCTAGACTTTCTCCATCTTCGAGCATCAAGAACACAACGGTGACTACAATTACTCGTTTCCGATGGCCCGTTCGGACCATTAGCATGAAGTTGGGGCCCGATAGGAAAGGAACTCCCGCCGATACTTCCTCATACTTCACTCACAGACGGGACTCCTGCTCGAGACTTCCTCCATGCTCGTTCACAGACGAGGCCCCCGCCTAAGACTCCCTCCATACCCTTGCCTCAAGTGCCCAAACGTGACGAAAAAAACAAGCTTCCGATGGCCCGCTCCGATTACTAACCAGAAGCGGTTGCCCCATAGGGAGGGGGCTTTCGCCTGATACTTCCTCACACTTCTTTCACAAACGAGTCCCGCTCGCGGCTTCTTCCAAATTCTCAAGCCTCAGGAGCCCAAACGTGACATTAACATGTTTCCGTTGAACAGTGCGAATCACTAACCAGAAGCGGTTGCCCCATAGGGAGGGGGTTCCCGCCTGATGCTTCCTTGCAGTTCATTCACAGACGAGGCTACCGCTCGAGACGTCCTCGATTTTCAGGCCTCCGCAACCCAAAACTGATGCCACTTGTAGGTTTGCGATGGCCCGCTCGGGCCACGGCTATGAACATGAAGTGGGGGCCCCGTAGGGAGGGGGCTTCCGCCTAAGACTTCCGCGCAATTCACTCACACACGAGGCTCCCGCTAGAGACTTTCTCCACATTTAAGCCTCAGAAGGCCAACATTGTACAATTATCCGATGACCCGCAGCGCCTCCCGTAAGGCGATGAGGTATGGGGTCCCAATACAACGTTGTCCGTGCTGTTGCGCACGCGAGAAGAGAGGAGACGTCAAAGCGGACCGTTCGGCCGCGGGGCACCAGTGCAATGTTTTGTTCAAGTATTGTGCTGCTCAAGTCTCGGGCGGAACCGCCCTATCGAATTCGAACCCGAATGATTTCGAAATCCAGTCGACAGGACACCTCCAGCGACAACCACGCTTTCGAAATCTCCGGATAGAAATTTAAGCGATTTTAGAATTTGAATGCCAAACGGTGTGGCCATTTCGAAACAACGGTTTCGCTTGAGACTTCCTCAAACCAATTCGAACGATTTCGAAACTTTCGGGTTCGATTTCGAAATGGCGCTCTCGCCCAAGACTTCTTCCAAACTAGAATTCGAAACCTTTCTGGTACGATTTCCAATGGCGCTCTCGCCCAGGACTTCTCCCGAAACGAAAGTCGGAGCCTTCCAGGCTAGACTTCGAAGAAGCGCTCTGGCACAGGACCTGATGAAAGCTGGAATTCGACACCCTTCGGTTCGATTTCGAAATGGTGCTCCCGCCCAAGACTTTTTCGAAAATAGAGGTCGGGATTTCATCAACTAAAACTTGCGATGGCGCTCCCGCCTAAGACGCGTGTTGGAGGAAGCACGAAACGGGTCAAAACTTTCGCAGCGCCGATGTAAAGAGAAAGCTCCCGCTCAAGACTTCCTACAGTTTCAGGCCTCAGGAGCCCCAAACTGACGACTATTAAAAGTTGCCGATGGCCCGCGCGAAATGGTGGCCCCATACGGAGGGGCTTCCCCCTGAGACTTCCTCGCAATTCACTTACAGACGAGGCTCCCGTTCGAAACTTCCTCTAGATTCAAGCCTTAGGAGCCTAAACATGACGACTGTTACAAATTCCCAATGAGACTTCCAGCCTGAGACTTCCTGAGACTTCCTCACACTTCTCTCGCAGAAGAGGTTCCCGCGCGAGACTTCCTCCAGATTAAAGCCTCAGGATCCCAACACTGACGGCAATTACAGGTTTCAGATGGTCCGCGCGGACTACTAACATGAAGTAGGGGACGGCATAGGCAGGGGGCTCCCGCTCGAGACTTATTCACGCTTCGCTCACACACCTAAGGCTGCCGCTCGAGACTTCCTCTATGTTGAGGTCTCAGAAAAACCACCAGACGTGGCGACAATAACATGCTTCCGATGACCCGCTCGGACTGCTAACATGAAGTAGAGCCCCATGGGAAGGGGGCTCCCGTCAAGGACTTCCTCGCAATTCACTCACAGACGAGGCTCCCGGGCGAGACCTCCTCCATATATGGGTGCATGTGTGCGTGTGTGCGTGATCGAGTGAATGGGTGTGCGATGATGGCGATGATGATGATGATGATGATGATGATGAGGAGGAGGAGGAGGAGGAGGAGGAGGAGGATGATGCTGATGATGATGATGGTTGTGGTGATGATGATGCTGCTGATGATAATATTGCTGCTGATGATGATGATGCTGCTGATGATGATGCTGCTAGTGCTGATGATGATGCTGACGCTGCTGATGATGCTGATGATGTTGAGGACGAGGATGAGGATCTATGGCGATGGTGACGATGATGTTTAGGCTGATGCTGATGATGATAGGGATGCTGCTGCTGATGATGCATATGATGATGGTGCTGATGATGACGATGCCGATTCTGACAAGTACCATAATGCTGATGGTGGTTGATGGTGGTGGTTATGCTGATGCTGATGATGGTGCTGATGTTGCTGCTGATGTTTCTGCTGCTGATGATGATGGCAATGTTGATGATAATGCTGATGCTGATGCTGCTGCTGATGTTGATGTTGATGTTGCTGTTGCTGTTGGTGATGATGATGATGATGATGCTGCTGCTGCTGCTGCTGATGATGATGATGATGATGATGATGATGATGATGATGATGATGATGATGATTATGGCGATGCTGACGCGGGTGTGGTCTTGTTCCTGCCCTGGGAATGTCCAGATAAACCAAAACTCACTTAGAATGCGGGGAACAAGGCGGACACGACACGAAGAAGAAACTCACAGACAACAACAGGGGAATATCGGGAGCGGCCAAGAGGGGGGTGTGCAAGAGGGGGGGGTGCAAATCATGACCGGCGGCATGTGCGCGGCCCAGCGGGGGGGCCAGGGACGTAATGACATAAGAAGAGGCTCCATGAAATCTGGGGAAATACCATGACCCCCGCCATGATACCCACCCACCCCTAATCATCACCCCTCTCTTTTCCGCCCCCGAGGATACGAAGAGGGGACTACAAACCGGAGAGGGCTGTCTTCCCCGCTCGCCGCCTCCGCCCTCCTTCCCTTGCCCGCGGCCGCCGTTTGGCCGTGCCGCGCCACGCGGGCCGCTCGCGCACCCCGCTGCGCCTCGCCGTTGAGATCCTCGATGGTCTTGATGGTGGTATCGATCTCCTCTGGCTGAGAACAAGAGTCGGAGCGAGCTTTCGGACGATGCTACTTATTTATGTCGGCGGAGATTCAGCAGAGACTCCTCTTCTTCTTCTTCTATTATTATTAGTATTTTTAGTATGAGGTTTATTATTATTATTGAAATTATTATTAGTAGTATTCGTATTATTAGTAATAGTATTAGTATTATTAGTATTATGATTGTTATTATTATTAGTATTCGTATTACTCTTACTATTATTCTTCACCATGCCCCTTCACCACAACATATGATTCCTAGCCTCCTCCTCTGCGTACTCTCCTCCTTCTTCTCCCCCGTCACGATCATCGTCATTATTCTTCTTCCTCCCCCCCAAGCCCTCCTACTCCTCCTTCCCATGCCCCATAATCCTACATCTCCTGCCTTCCTCCCCTCCCTCTCCCTTCACCCCTTCTTCCCGCCTCTGTTCTCCAATATCCTCATTCCCCTTCCTCCACAATTACGTTATTTCCCCTCGCCGCCCTCCCCGCCCAAACCTTCCCCCGCTTCCTCTGCATACTCCTCCTCACACGTCCTTCTCTTCCCGCTCGCTCCTTCTCATCTTCATTCCTTCGATTCCTCCTTATCACCCCTCCCGCCCCCCTTCTCCTCCCCCTCTGTTGCAACAGATTCCTCCTGCTCCCCCTTCCTTATCCGCATTCCTCCTCCCCCCAGCATCCTTCCTCACCCCTCCTCCCTACTCCCTTGTATCACATCATCCGAATTCTCGTTCCTCCTCCTCTACACCTTCCTACGCCACTCCTCAATGGCATCCTCCTCCCTCAGTTCACCCCCTCTCCGTATAGTCAACTCCCCATCCGCACAGCATCCGAGGTCGGTAGAATGGTGTGCGAGCGGTTCGCGTGAGACTCTCGAACATATACGATCCTAGCGCCAAGAGGCAGCGAACCTAGGGGGGCAACTGGCACGTGAAAAAATAGCGGTTTAGCGTGAGGACTCTGCCTGATGTATGATCCTGGAGCGAAGCATCCATAAGTTACACAGACGAAGGGCGGATCGTTATCATGGTTTTGTTTGATAGTTGCTTACGTCCCACGGACCTGAAAGTCACAATCCCCAGCGGCAATACGGATGGACGGCGGTCGCTCGTCTAAATCGGTACGGCTGGTTCGTGTCGTGTCGACCCCCGCGTTGGTTCCTGACACCGCGGGGATCCTTCAACCTTGAACGATCGGCACTTTCCGAAACGTCCGATCGCTGAGCATCGCCCGATTCTGGGCCACGGGCGGCGTTCAACCTTGAACGCCCGCGCTGGGGTCGCCGCTGGTCGACACGGCGCGAACCTTCCGTACCTGATGTTTGCATGCTGCTTGTTGAAGCCATAACAATATACACGCCCAACAGTCGTACGGATAGATACGGTAGGGCCCCTCATGATAAAGTCCCACACGCCAATGTCCCACACGGTCGGGTCCCGTACGATTGGGGTCCCACACGATAGGAGAGGCCCCCCCACACGACGGGGGCTATCACGCCACAAGGCGCCCCCCACGATCAGGTCCAATCGTGCCCGTTATACTTCTCTCGCTCTATGCCGCTCGCTCTCTCTCTCTCTCTCTCTCTCTCTCTCTCTCGTCTCCCTCTTTCCTTGTTTACTGTGCTGGGCGGGAAGAGGGGCCCTGCCCGAGTGAAGAGGGGCTGCGTGCTTAGAAGCCAACGCGTTCGTCGCCGAAAGCACGAATCGGTGCTCGGGTTGGGGCGAGGGGTACGCACCAATAAACAATGCGACAGCGCGCGAATGACCATGGTCACCTGCGCGCGTCCGCGCGCATGGTGCTCCCTGTGGCGCCCATAGTACATGACAGACAATAAGGCCATGTTAACTTGGAAATCCAAATCCGTCGCCGAGAAGTGATCGCTTCAGTGCTTTGTCAACATGGGAAGTTTTCTACCCCAAGCAACACCAGAGCCTCTACACGCGATGCTGGCGGGTGATCGTGGGTGCACGCCACACAAGAAAACCATGCTACCTTCGAAATCAAGTCGGTCACCGCTAAGTGATCGCTGTAGCTTTCAGTCCAACGTGGCGAATTCTCTACTTCAAGAAATAGAAGACGCTCTACACGCGCACGCTGGCGGGCGACCATGGTCACCCACGCGCGTCCGCGCGCGTGGTGCTCTCAAAGTGCTCCCTCTGGTGTCCATGGTACTTCGACATCCAATCGGTTACCGCTAGGTGATCACTTTAACTTCAAGGCCAGCGTGGCTATTTTCTATCCCAAACATTACAGAACCCTCTGCGCACGCACGCCGTCGGGCGACCATGGTCACCCGCGCGCGTCGGCGCGCGTGGTGCTCTTTGTGGTGTCCATAGCTCAGGCCAAACGAACCCATGCGAACTTCGAAATCCAATCGGCTACCGCTGATGAGTTTCGTTTCCAAAGCCAACATGGCGACTTTGTAATTCAGGAAGTACAAGACGCTCTGGACGCGCACGCTGGCGGGTGACCATGGTCACCCGCGCGCGTGGTGCTCTCTGTGGTGTCATAGTTCAGGCCGTACAAGAGAACCCATGCTAAGTTCGAAATCCAATCGACCACCGCTAAGTGATCACTTTCGATTCCAAGCTAACATGGCGACTTTCCATTTCAGGAATTGCAAACCGCTCTGCACACGCACGCTGGTGGGTGACCATGGTCACCCGCGCGCGTCCACGCGCGTGGTGCCTTCTGTGGCGCCCATCGTGCAGGACATACAAGAAAACCAATGCTAACGTGGAAATCCAATCGGCCACTATTAAGTGCTCAAGTGAGTTTCGAGGCCAACATGGCGACGTTCCTATTCCAAACAACAACGTAGAACGCTCTACGCACGCACGCTGGCGGGTGGCCATGGTCACCCGCGCGCGTCCGCGCGCGTGGGGTTCTCTGACTCTGTGCTCTCTACAATACAGGACATACAAGAACCATGTCAGCTTGGAACTACAATCGGTCACCGTTAAATGTCACTTGAGATCCGGGGGCAACATGGCGACTTTACTATATTAGACAATGCAGAACGTTCTACGCACACACGCCAGCGGTTGACCATAGTCACTCGTGCGCGTCCGCACGCGTGGTGATCTCTGTGGTGTGCATAATGCAGGACATCCAACAAAACCATATACACTTCGAAATCCAATCGGTCACCGCTGAGTGATCACTCTAGTTTCCAGGCCAACATGGCGACTTTTCAATTTCAGGAAATACAGGACGCGCTGTACGCTCACACAGGCGGAGACTTCCCCAACCACATCTTCAGACCTCCTCCTCAACATCATCATCCCCAGGGGGGCCCTCAGGCGAAGCCTCCCTGGGGAGGTGGGTGCGGTAGAATGCCTAAGAATTTGCAAGTTATTGCGATACCCTGCTCCCTCTGGCCGCAGGGCCTCCTTGGAGAGATGGGCGTGGTAGACGTCCTAAGAACGTATATGGTATGGGGATACCCAGCTCCCTCTGGCGGGGCCTCCCTGGGGAGGCGTGTGCGGTAGAATTCCTAAGAAATTGTATGGCATTGCCCTAATGGTGCATGACAAGATCCCCGGCCAATTTCGCCGATGCCAAGATTGCGGATGCACCACGGCCCACGGGGCACCCAAGATCGCCCCATTGTGGCCCGAGAAGAGGAATTCGAACTGAGATTTTAAACCCCGCCCCAGCGGACTCCGAGACCGCGATGAACAACGACGACGACGACGACGACGACGACGACGACGACGACGAAGGCGGTGGCGACGACGAAAAAGACGACGACGAACTGCGGATACCCCATGGAGGGGGTGGGGGGGTGCAACGAAAGGCCCAGCGACGACGACGACGACGACGACGAACGACGACGAACGCCGGCGAACGACGACGACGACGAATTGCGGACGCCCCATGGGGGGGGCGCGCAAGGCCTGGCGACGACGACGACAACCGACGACGGCGGCGACGACGACGACCCGCCGACGAAACTGCGGATGCCGCAGGGGGGGGGTTGGTGAGTGGGTGGGTGCGGGAAAAAAAAATCAGCGCAAATCGCATTCCGCATTTTTGTTGGCCCGCGGAAGGAAGGGGGGATCGAAAACAATGCCGCTGACCAATGCCAAAACGTTTTCCGTAACTTTTCCTGGCCTCGCGGAGTGAAGGTGCGTGTTGAAAAATACGACGGAATGTTTTCCCGCGAGGCGCGCCGGCCGCAGGGTGGGTGGACTCGAACAAAGCCAACGGATTTTCCCCTGGAGTTCGCTGGGGGGGTGGGGGACGTAAAGCCTCTCGACCCCCTCGTCTAAAACGGCATTCGAGAAGTCTCCAACAAGCGGCCAAGAGGCTCCAAGAGGTTTCCAAACGGCATCCCCAAAGACCCTAAGACGCATCTGAAATAACTCTGGCCCGCAACCCATGCACGGTGGCGGGATGGGCCGAAGGCCACCAGATCCGCCGCCCCCTGCTTGCAGGGGTGCACGGCGTGCTGGATGATTCAGGTTTTGGTTTTGGTTCTTTTTCTAGAAGAACTCCCCAGTGGGCTTCGGCCCGTCCCGCCGGCCACCCGCGCGTTTCCCAAAACCCATCTGTCAATGCCCAAAAACGGCCGTTTCGCTCGGGACATCCTCGAAAAATCGCGAAGATGGCCCAAGATGGCCTCCAAGTCCGCCCGAGATGGTCCAAGACGGCCTCCAAAACGGCCCAAGAGAGTCCAAGACGGCCCAAGACGGCCCAAGAGGCCCCCCAGAGGCCTCCCAGACGGCCCAAGAGGCCTCCAAGAGGTCCTCCAGGAGAGTCCGAAGAGGCCAAAATCATTGATTTTCCATTGGTTTTTGAAGGATTTTGGCATTTGCGCCTTTTCGGCTCTCCGACGGCTCAAGACGGCCCAAGAAGCCCCCAAGATCGCCCAAGAGGCCCCCAAGAGAGCCCCATGATGGCCCAAGTGGCCTCCAAGATGGCCCCTAGAGGGCCCCAAGAGGGCCCAAGAGGCCTCCAACACGCCCAAGATGGCCTCCCAGACGCCCAAGATGGCCTCCAAGACGGCCCTGGAGCATTCCAAGCGGGCCCCAAGTCGGCCCATAGAGGCCCCCCAAACGGCTTCCGACGGCTTCAGACGTGCCAGGAACCCACCAAGATGGCCGAAGTTGGCTCGAAGCTGGCCCGAGACGGCCCAAAAAGCCCCAAAGATCGCCCAAAGCTTGCCCAAGAGGCCTCCAAGACGGCCAAGATGACCTTCAAGATGCCCACGTGTTCCCCGAAGGCTTTCCAAACCGATTCGGGGAACACGTGGTCCGATAGCTTGGCAGGTCTGGCCTCAACGTTCGGCCACATAGGCGCTTCCAAAAAGGCAGGGGGCGGCGGTGATTCGCCGTAGGCGTCTTCGATCCGCCGCCCCCTGTCGATTCATCGCAGGGGTGCCTGGCGTGCTAGCTCCTATCGTTTTGGTTCTTTTCCAAAAGAACTCCCCCTGGGGCTTCGGCCCGTCCCGCGGGGGTCCCGGAAGGCCGCGTAAACCACCTCAGCGTCCCCACTAAATCCTCCAAGACGGCTCAAGATGGCCTCCAAGATGGCCATGTTGGCCCAAGATGGCCTCCAAGATGGTCCAAGATGGCCTCCAAGTTCGCCCAAAATGGTCCAAGAAGGTCCAAGAGAGTCTAAGACGGCCCAAGACGGCCCAAGAGGCTCCCCAGAGGCCTCCAAGACGGCCCAAGAGGCTTCCAAGAGGTCCTTCAGAAGGGCCCGAAGAGGCCCAAATCATTGATTTTCCAAAGGTTTTTGAAGGATTTGGGCATTCGCTTCTTCTCGGCTTTCCAACGGCCCAAGAGGCCCTCAAGATCGCCCCCACAGCGCCCAAGAGGCCTCCAAGATGGCCTCAGGAATGCCCAAGAGGCCTCCAAGACGCCCAAGATGGCTTCTAAGAAGGGCCCTGGAGCACCCCAAGAGGGCCCCAAGTCGGCCCAGAAAGGCTCCCCGAACGGCTTCCGACGGCGTCAGACGGGCCAGGAGCCTACTAAGATGGCCGAAGCTGGCTCGAAGCTGGCCCAAGACGGCCCAAGAGGCCTCCAAGAGGGCCTCCAGGAAGGCCAGAAAAAGCCAAAAACACTGATTTGCCGTGGGTTTTTGACAGATTTTGACATTTGCTTCAGTTCGGCCTTCCGACGGCCCGATACGGCCCACGAGCACCCAAAGATCGCCCAAAGATCGCCCAAGAGGCCTCCAAGATGGCCCCAGAACGGCCCTAGAGGCCCCCAAGACTGCCTCAAGGCGCCCCCAAGACGGCCCAGGAGGCCTTTTCAGACGCCCAAGATGGCCTCCAAGACGGCCCTGGAGCATTCCAAGAGGGCCCCAAGTCGGCTCAGAGAGGCCCCCCAAACGGCTTTCGACGGCGTCGGACGGGCCAGGGGCCCTCCAGGAAGGCCCGAAAAAGCAAAACATGTTGATTTCCCTTGAGTTTTCGAAGGTTGTAGCATGTGCTTTTTTGTTGGCCCGAGACGGCCCAAAGTGCCCCCAAAAGATCGCCCAAAAGGCCCAAGACGGCTCCAAGAGACCCCCAAGACGGCCCAAGAAAGCTCCAAGACGCTCAAGATGGCCTCCAAGACGGCCCACGAGCCCTCCAAGACGTCCTCCAAGAAGGCCCGAACGGGTCCAAATGGCCTCCAGGCGGCCAAGATGACTTTCAAGATGCCCACGTGTTCCCCGAAGGCTTTTCAAACGGATTCGGGGAACACATGGTCCGATAACTTGGCAGGTCTGGTCTCAACATTCGGCCACATAGGCGCTTCCAAAAAGGCAGGGGGCGGCGGTGATTCGCCGTAGGCGTCTCCGATCCGCCGCCCCCTGTGTTCATCACAGCGGTGCTTGATGTGCTGAAAGTTTTACTATTCTGAACCCTTCCAAGCTATTCCCAATGGGCTTCGGCGCATCCCTCAAGCCAGACGGAAAATATAATGGAGCGGAGTCCGCATAATGGGCTCCAAAATGAGTCAAGATGGCCTAACATGGCCTCCGAGACGGTTCCAAGACGGCTAAGATAGCCCCAAGGCAGTCCAATATGCCCTCCAGACGGCCCAAGGGACCCCAAGGCGCCCTCAAAGGGGTCCAAGAGCAACTCGAAGAGGCCCAAATCACTAATTCCCCTTGAGTTGCTTTGCTAACGGAAAACAGGATGTTAATGTCCTCGCCTCTTCGGGCTCACGACATAAGGCCTTCAAGATAGCCCCCCAAGACGGCCCCGCTTCTCGCGGGGCCTTCTGGAGCACCTGGAGACGCCTTGGAGGCCCCTGGGGCCGTCTTGAAACTGTCTGAGGTCGTCCTGGAACGCTCCGCGGCCGTGTCGGAGTCCTCCTCCCCCGCCTCCTCCTCCTCCTCCTCCTCCTCCTCCTCCTCCTCCTCCTCCTCCTCCTCCCCCGCCTCCTCCTCCTCCTCCTCCTCCTGCTCCTCCTCCTCCATCTCCTTCTCCTCCTCCTCCTTTTACCTCTTCCTCCTTGTCCTCCTCCTCCCAATTCCTCCTTGTCCATCTCCTCCTCCTCGTTCTCATCTCGTGGCCTCCTCATGCCTCCTCGCCTCCTCATAATCCTTGCCGGTATTCCTTCTCCTCCTCCTCTTCCTCCTCCTCCTTCTTCTCATCCACATCCTCTTCCTCTTCCTCCTCCCCCGCCTCCTCCCTCCTCCTCCTCCTCCTCTCTCCTCCTCCTCCATCTCCATCTCCCCCGCCTCCTTCTCCTCCTCCTCCTCCTCCTCCTCCTCCTCCTCCTCCTCTCCTCCTCTTCCTCCTCTAACAGATTCCTCCTAATCCTCCTCCTCCCATTTCCTCCTTCTCTTCCTCCTTCGCCCTCAGCATCAACTGTGCTCCTACTCCTGTCTGTCCTCCTTATCCGCCCCCCTGTTGCTTCTCTTCCTAGTCCTACTCGTCTATCCGTCTCACCCGCCCCCAACCCATGACAATTGCACTTGTGGCGTCGACCCCATGCAAGTGCAGGCCTTGTACGAATCAAAGGAAACTGATGAGTCGAACCTAAGTGTTTTCCATAGACAGCTTGAGACCGTCTCGTCTCATGTCAAGGCTCGCCAGAAAGAGTTCCTCGGTAGTTCGTATGAAGGTGCCGTGCTTCGTGCGGAATGGGTGTTTGCGAAACTCCCATTTGTTTATGTTTGCCGTGCAGCTGGAGCGCTGGTCAGATGGACTCACCTGAACGCCCCTCCAGACCTCGCTCACATGCGTAATTTAATTCACGGACTGCTGGGGAGTGGCGACGATCCTGGCTATGTGGCCTCTCAGAGGTGCCTCCGCCGTTCAAGCACCCCCATTGGAAAGAGTCCGAGGAAGAAAAGGAAGAGGAAGGATGACGAGGGGAAGGAGAAGAAAGAAGAAGGCAAGGGTGGAGGAACGGGAATGATGATAGGGGATGGAGGAGGGGAGGAGGGCAGGGAAGGAGGAGGAGGAACGAGGCGGGATGATGAGAAGCAGAAGCAGAACCCCAACGGAACTCTGGGGTATCCGAGGTCGCCCAGGGGCTTGCCTTTACATGACTGGTGGTAGGCTGATTTCTTTTCCATCCGTCAAAATGGATCGCTCAACGTCTACTCTGGAAGCTAAATTTCTCAAGCCTGGGGGGTCAACCGTACATTCCCGAGGTTTTGGACATCTGAGTGCCCTCCATACATCCCTCCTCACCTACCTATCCCTCCTACCTTTCCCCCGTTCACCACTAGAGCAATCACCATACGCAATCCTAGACGCACGTCTTACACCAACACACAGAAATGCTGGCACGGCGTCGCCTTGTATCGCTCCCGGCAGATCTCGATGGACTCGAAAGTCGTCGCCTGCGGGGAACTGTATTGCAAGTACTAAGTAAAACTTATTTGACAATTGAACGCTCAGTGCCAATCTTGCGGTTTGACTAGCCCGAACTACTGCTGGTGGCCTCTGGTCGTACTCGTGCCATCTTGGTACTCATATCGCGCAACCTATGCGCCTCCTCTTCCTGCTCCACTCTCTATTCCGTCTTCCACCTTCTCCACTTTCCCCTCCCCCCTCTCAGTCCCCATAACGGCAACACCTGGCCTCCTCCTCCTCCTCCTCCTCCTCCTCCTCCTCCTCTTCCTCTCCTGCATCTTACTCCCTTCTCCTCCTTCTGCCCCTCCTCCTCCTCCTCCTCCTCGTCGTCCTCCTCCTCCTTCTCCTCCTCCTCCTGTCCCTTCTCTCCTCCTCGCCCTTTGGGGGACCTCTCATCCTCCAGCCCTGCCTCCTCCCCAGGACTCTAGAATGGCAAGCTAGCGTGGCAGAGCTTGGGGCGGCAAAAATATCATTCACGCTGAATCGGACTCGCTCTCGGAACCCCTTCTGACACTATGCAGCCAAACTGCTAGCAACGCGCGAGAACAACTCAACCTGCTCTGCTCGCTCCACCGTCTTCACCGCGATCCATTGACTTTGGCATCATTATCACGTGCTATTTGCTGATCCTCCAGCTCCTCCCCTCTTTCTCCCGTGGCCTCCTCCACTCCTGTAGTCAATAGAAAACGCATAAAGCAAAATCCAGCGCTTCTGTTCCACACCATATCTTTCTGGCACGCAACAACTCTTGGGGATAACCGCGAGACTGCACAAGAGACAATTTTTGAAAACACAGCGTCAAAACATCGAGCCCCTGTCAACATCCTCCGTGTGAGGGTCAGAGACCCTGAAATATCGCTTTGAAGCTGGTGACCTCCTAGCCGTCGCGGCCTCATCTACGCGTTCTGCTGTTCGCCTGCGTCGAACTTCCATCCTATTCAGAACAGCGGGCACTGCAATCATTAAGCTGCTCTGCATTGGCTCATCGGACGCACCTGGCGTGTATGATTTGGGTGTTCAATTCAGCGGCTCGGCCGCCGAATGAAGCGACGTTAAAGAAGAATGAACATTTTACCGAGCCCCATTCGAACAAACGGAACATGTGCTTACACACATGGTGAAAAGGGTCGTGCCGGGATTGGTACTTACAAGTGCGAGGGCTCAGCCAGCTCGACGCTTCTGGCGTTCTGAAGACCGTTCGCTCTCCTGGCTACTCCTCTTCTGCTCTATGGTCCGCCTTCCTTCGGCCTGGCATCGGGCGGAAGGCACCACAACGCGACCGACGTGGCCGAGGCCCTCGCGGTGCTTTGCCAGCAGCTCTGCGAAAGTTAAGTTGGCATCGCCTGGCCAGTTTGCAGCTTGTTTATCACTGGACGCACGCTCGACTATGGAAGGAAAGAGCGTGCTGTGAAAGCTTACGAGGACCCATCATGAACGATTGGAAACGCGTGCAGTGACTCAGACGCCTGGCAGTGTTCGAATGTACTGCCATCGACACGAACTCATGACAATAGGAGACGTCAGCCACGCAAGCGTCTACTGGAAACGAAGCTGAACGTATCGTTCTCAACGTACTGCCATGCCTTCCGAACTGCGTTGATGGACCGCATCGTTACCTCAAACACAAGACGGCATGACTGCTTGCTTGACGGTCATTTTGGGCACACCCTCTACACATCCAATATTGGCTTCTAGCCCTTATGGAGTGATATTGCACCGCCTGTCTAGAAAATTGCTCGTAGTGGGAGGCTCTGGCATAGCCCGTTGTGCTGGAAATGGAGTGCGTCTCCAGCGCAGACTTAAACATCGCCGTGGGGAAACTCAGAAAGAAAAACAAGCAGGCAGAGACCTATGCATTTTGCCGCGCCAAGGGGCCAATACCTCCAAAACAGTTCCCGCTTTGTGGGTGCCGAGTGCAACCCCAGCGCCATCCCCCATGACTAACCTTCCAGACATCATCTTGCAGCTTTGCGGTTGAAAGGGATCGGGGGCCTTCCGGCTCGAAGGATGAGCCTTGTGGTTGTAGAGGCCTCCTAGATGGGGTCGGAGTAGATGGGGTCGGAGGATCGCCCCGCATCGCCGATACATCGTCGATGCAACGGCGACGCATCGGCGATGCATCGGCAATGCACCGGCGATGCATCGTCGACGTCGACGCGAAGCAAATCGGGCTCCACATCGAGCCGCATCGGCGATGCATCGGCGATGCGGCGCGATCCTCCGACCCCATCTACTCCGACCCCATCTAGGAGACCTGGAGGTTGAGAGGAGGGACAGGAGGAACGGGGAGCTTGTAGTTTGAGTGAAGACGGTGCGATCGAACATAGCAATGGGATCGAGGGGCTCCGTGGTTGGACGCAGGGGCGCAGAGCTCTCGAGCGTATCCCTACCGGTGGCTCCCTCCACTACTGGAACCACTGTCGCCCTCACCAATACAGTGAGTCCTGACCACTGTAGCCCGCCGGGCGACATCGACTTCGCCCAAATGCGCAAACTCTACAAGACCATTCTGAATAGCAAAGTTCCAAAAGAGCGCCAAAGCGGTGGCAGGAGCAGCTTTGGAGGAAAGGCAACGTCAAACATGGCGCGTGTTGCCAGCTATGAACGCGTCCGCGGTTGGATCGATGAGCTCCAGGCGGTTCAGCCTGGCACGGCATCCCGTGCACCACGCCAGGGAACTGAGTGCAGGAGCAGCATTCGAGGGCACCGCATGGCACAGCTTTCAAGCAGCATGCCTCCTTAGCTGTCTCCCTGGCCTCGGCACCCCTGGCGTCCCCCTTCGACCTCCTTCGAGGCACTGCGGGCGGCTACCCTGTCCTCCTGGTGGATTTGATAGGGCCTTCAATCCCTGGCGCTGCTGCGGCTCCTCCGGCCTCGTTTCCACATCTCCACCGTTCCTCCTCTCCTCTCCCCTCCCCTCCCCTCCCCTCCTCTCCTCTATTCTCCTCTCATTTCCTCTCCTTCTCCCCTCCTCCGAGCTCCTCTTTCGTTCTCCTCCATGACATTCGAGGGGAAGAGGAAGACAACAGAGTTGTGAGAAAGCGACACCTGCATCGAATACGCCGGCTTTGACCACCCAGCACGGCACCGCCTGACGTTGGCAGCCTGCGAACCTCGTGCGGAAAAGCCATTGAATGAATACGCGCCTTGGAAGGCAGAAGTCGCTCCAGCCCCACCCTCCCACTTCGCTGTCCATGCTCATGGCTCAGCCTGCCCATGGTGAGGACGCCGGGCTGTTGCGGGGCGCCGTCCACGGTTCTCCCCAGCACGCGCGCTCTTTCCCTGTAATATCCCCCTCTCAGTCTGTCTGTCTGTCTGCCTGTCTGTCTTTTTCTGTCTTTTTCTGTCTGCCTGTCTGTCTGCCTGCCTGTCTGTCTGTCTGTCGGTCTCTCTCTCTCTCTATATCTGTCTGTCTGTCTGCCTGTCGGTCTGTCTGTCTGTCTGTCGGTCTCTGTCTCTGTCTCTGTCTCTGTCTCTGTCTCTGTCTCTGTCTCTGTCTCTGTCTCTGTCTCTGTCTCTGTCTCTGTCTCTGTCTCTATCTGTCTGTCGGTCTGTCTGTCTGTCTCTCTCTCTCTCTCTCTCTCTCTCCCTCTTGCTATGCATTTAATCAAATCCGAAATATACTTCATGGGTTTGCGGGGACCCCGTCGCGGCGCCGCTGGAGAGTCCCCCAGAGCCCAAAGGGTGCCAAGAGAACCGTCAAAGACGGGCCCGAGACGGCCCGAGGTGCCTTCAAAAGAAGGTCCAGCGACGGCCCAAGACAGTCCAAGATGCCCCCAGGACTGCCTAAAATAGCCTGACGAAGGACCCGACCATATGCAGCTGCGAGTGCCGCGAGGGAGACGAGACGAAGGAGGGGGGCGCGCAAACTCCGAGTAGCGCACGCGGTATAGCCTTCTGCCACGAAACGTGTGAAGGGTGTGCCGACATGAGTCGGGGAGACGCCTGCGAACGTCGCCATTGGGGCCTTCCGATGAGCTCCCTATGGGGCCACGAAGCCTGTGAAGAGTGTGCCGAGATTGGGCGGCGGTGCCATGCGAAAGTTCCCACTGGGGCCTTCGGTGGAGCTCTGTATGGGGCCACGAAACGTGTGAGGGGTGTGCCGAAATGGGGCGGCGGTGCCATGGGAACTTTCCCACTGGGGCCTTATGTGGAGCTCCTTATGGGACCACGAAACGTGTGAGGGGTGTGCCAAAATGGGGCGGTGGTGCCATGCGACCTTTCCCACTGGGGCCTTCGGTGGAGCTCCCCATGGGGCCACGAAACGCGTGAGGATATGCCGAAATGGGATGGACATGCGGAGAACAGAGGCAGGGATGGGAGGAGAGGCGCGGATGGGAGATGAGGGTGGAGGGGGCAGCGGGAGGAGTGAACGCGGGGCACTGCCTCTTCCAAACGAGGACCCAACACCAAAGGATGGTTGGGAAAAAACCACAAGAGGCCCAGGAGGACCCCTGAGGGGGCAACATCATTGATATTCCTTGGGTTTTGAAAAAAAAAATCAAAAACTACTCGCGCTTTCGAGCTTCAGAGCCCCCAGGACGGCCCAACAAAACCCCAAGATCGCACCGAACTGGCCGCAGATGCCCCCAAGAGGACACGAAGGTGGCCCACAAAGACCCCAAGAGACTCAAAGACCCACCAAGATGGCCCAAGGCGGCCAAAGCGGCCCCCAAAGGGCCCGGATACAGTTCCAGAGGATGGCCCCGGGTCTGCTGAAGGACGGCCCGAGGAGGATCTCCAACAGGGCCTCGCAAACATTTCTCGAACAAGAAACAACGCGTGCGTCGGCAATCTTCGACTCACGCACCTCCGAGTCCACCCTTGTATACATACCCGCCATTGCCCCGTGCTCCGCTTTCTCCGCAGAGGAAGGCACGGGTTCCAGGATCGGAGGTCCGAAAGTCCGACATCCGCGGCCTTGGTTCTGGGGTGATGGGGTCCCTGCTCTCCTTCTTCTCAACCGGGAAGGTCTGGGGGCGGCCAAGAGGGGGGCGTCCAAGATGGGGGGGCGCAAATCATGGCTGGCGGCATGTGCGCGGCCCAGGGGGTGGCCGGGGACGCATTGAAATAAGAAGAAGCGCCATGAAATCTGGGAAGATATCATGGCCCACGCCAATCATCACCCCCCTTCTTTGCCCCCCCCCCCCCGAAAGGTCCTGGGTCTGGGGTCTCAAGTCTGGGGTCACAAGCTTAAGGTCTGGGATCAAGGGCCCGGGGTCCAGGGTGCAGGGGGGTGTGGGGCCTGCAGGTTCGAGAGCAGGCGTGAAGGGGGGTCCCCGTGCTCCGCTCTCTCCGCTCGGGTGCATGGTGAGGGGGGGTCCCCGTGCTCCGCTTTCTCCGTCGCGGGGCGGGGGGGTCTTGGGGTCTGGGACTCGGGGTCCGCGGTCTGGGATCTGGGGTTCGAAATGAGAGGCGGTGCACGCTCCAAGGATGAAGGGTCCCTGTGCTCCGCTTTCTCCGCCCGGGACAATCCTTCCCCTGTCCAACTCCACCAATGGCCTTCAGGACGCACGTTTTTTTCTGCGCCATGCTAGACCCCATCTGCTCGTCCACGCGTGACGCACCTCAAGAGCACACAACACTTAAACTAAAGAGAAAATTATCCCAGTGCGACCCTACCTAGGAGTTGGAGCCCCTAGGAAAGCAGCATTAGTAGTAACAGTAAAGCTAAGCTAAAGCTAAGCTAAAGCTAAGCTAAAGCTAAGCTAAAGCTAAGGTACAACTAAGCTAAAGCTAAGCTAAAGCTAAAGCTAAGCTAAAGCTAAGCTAAAGCTAAGCTAAAGCTAAAGCTAAGCTAAAGCTAAAGCTAAAGCTCAAGAAAGCTAAAGCTAAAGCTAAAGCTAAAGCTCCCAAGGGACTGGGGAAACCGCGGGGCGGGGACCGGGGGAACCGCCCGGGGCGTGGTCCACTGCCTGGCCCCTTTAAGCTAACAGAGTAAGAACCCTCTAGGCAGAGCCTAGGTAGGGAATTACTGCAGCATTGCAGCTCCGACGGGGGTTGAAATAACAAAAATGGCGAGAGGAGGTGAGGGAGGGAGGGATCGACTTGAGCACAGATAGCACTGGCCACGCAACGGCGGCGGAGGGCCTGAACGCTGGCTCTGGATCCGCGTTCACAGACCTTTAATTCCCTGCCCAGTTCCAAGGGCCTCCAGGGCGCACGTTTTTTGTTGCCTTTGTAATGCTAGACCTCGTCTGCTCGTCCACGCTTGACGCACCTCGAGGGCACGCTGGACTCGGACTGGAGAGAAGATCATTACAGCACTGCAACTCTGTTGCACGCATGGTTTGGAGGCTTTTTGGAAGGATCTGGGAACGTCTTGGGGCGCTTCGGGCGTGTTTGAAGGTCCTTTGCAGCGTCTGGGAGGCCGTCAGGGGTGCTCGGGGCATGTCGGGAGCCGAACCCCCGAAGACCCCCCCAGAAGGCTCCCCGTGGGCCCCGCTTGGCGCCTTCTTGGGGCCGTCTTGGGCCGTGTTGAGGCCCTCTTCGGGCTACCCTGGGGCCCTCGTCGCGGCCATCGCGTCCGGGCCGTCTTGGTCCGGGGACCGTCGGAGGCAAGAACCCGTAAATGGGTCAAACACTTCATGAAACTCGGCGATGTTTGCCTCTTGAAAGCCTCTCTGGGGCTCTCTGTGCTCTCTGGGGCTCTCTGGGGGCTATCTGAAACTGAGGTCTTTTTCGGGCTTTCTGGGGTCGCACTGCGGGCATGCTCGGCCGTCTTGCGGTCATCCTGCAGTGCATGTGGCCCACTTTTGCGTCTTGGGGAACCACTTGGGGCCTTGTGGGGACGCTTTAGGAACTCGGAGAGCGTCCACAAAGCTCCTCGCGAGCGTGTCGGGGCCAGTCTGGGACGCTTTTAGGAGCGTTTCAAGAGACCTCAAGGGCGGCCCGCAATCCACATGAACGAGGGGGGCCAGGGGGGGGTCGGTCACCCGTGCGGCCTTGCCCTTGCAGTTTCACAACTAATAAAAATATGCACGCATCTCTGGTTGTTATTCTCTCTGCTTCTTTATTTCTCTCTCTCTCTCTCTCTCTCTCTCTCTCTCTTTATACATCTATATATATATATAGACGTATCGGTCCGAAGTCTGAGAGGTCACTACATGCAATGCCACTACTGCCTCCTTGCTCTGGAACTCCCGCGCGGATAGCGAAATTCATGGTCCACGGACGATGTCAGGAAAGCACTTGGAGTGCCTGACCCAAATGAACAATCCAAGTCGCACCACAAAAGGCTGACCACTGGAAGCGGTTTGTACACAACAGCTGTATTCGAGGTGAACACAAGTCGTGAGAATTTAGATCACAAAAGCGCGTGCCATGCCATCCGACTTGAATCCAAGTGGATATGGGCGTGTTATCGGTGTCCAGGCTGTGGGTTGGTTCGAATTGTGGAGTCAGGACTGCGTGGCTGCACTGAGCGCACGTTTGATGGCTCGCTGAATCGGTTAAGGCGATTGGCGATCGGGATAGCTGTTCGCCGATCCCTTGAGATTCGCTGGCTCGTGTGATATGTCTGCCCCTGTCCTTACCCTCCCTGGGGATGGACGCAAGACAACCAACCCATGTAGTGCCAAAGACTCCCAGAAGCGCACTGTATCCCCGAAGAAGCTCCAGACGACAAAATGAACGAAGAACACATCTTATTTCCCAGGGCTGTCCACACCTTATCTGGAAGGCCGCCTACAATTCAAAATAATGTTGCATTATTCCTCGTGACCCAAAATAGGGTTGGGGCAATTGCAGTGCAAATGTATTGCGCCAGAGAATTATATTGCATTGGATTGCAATTAGATTGCATGCGAAATTCCAGCAATCCATCTGCACACGGGAACATATTGGACACCCCAAATCTACTGCAAACCCACAAACATATTGCACCAAATAATCTATTACACCATCCCCTTTTCGCTGGACCCCTTTTTGGGGTCAAACAGAATTCTGTCCCTAAGCCGCCTCTAGACTAGAAGAGGCGCCAACACACACCTCGACCTTGGTGAAACCACCCAAGTGTATTGGGGCCTGGCCAAATTGCACCGATGCAATCTCGGCGGTTTCAGAATGCTGCGCGTGCTTGCCGTACAATAGTGTACGGGCCACGCACGCAAGGGGAGGGAGAGGAGAGAAGGGAGGTAAAGAAGAGAGAAAGAGGAAGAACAAGAGGAGGGAGGAAGCCGCAGACCAGGTGGCCCATACATACGTACTGTTTCAAAATGATGAAAACGAAGAGGGGAGGTGGAATTCCCGCCTCTGGACCGGCGCCGAGTGGGCATCTGCCTCGAATTCGGTTCGGCCACCATCGGGGTGGTGTGACTTTGCATGGATCGATAGCTTGCGCAAGACTGCAAACGAAATGGGTGCGGAATATGAATTGCAAAAATATTGAAAACTCGCCCGTCGAATGCTGCGTGCATCAAACGGCAAGGGGCAATGCAATGCGCGACGCCAATGCCCCGTGCAATGCCCCCCCCACTTCATATCGTCTTCGTCTGGCATCTCTATGCTGACTTCGCCCAGGACGTCCTTGAAGAGTGGAGGACTGAAAAACGAGACTGGTCCGACAAAAGGAAGCCACAAGATGGGATACGGAAGGCGAGTTCGAAGAGAAACAGAACGTGGCAACTAATGATAACTACTAAGTGCATGGCACCATAACCACTTCCAGCGAGAACCATGAGCGGAAGCGCAGGGCCTCAGCGCTGGCCACTGTCGAGCAATCGATGCAGCCCGACAAGTGCACGTTCTTTTGGCTTTGCACACTTTTCTGAAGCTCATATCTCCCACTGGTCCGCTTCTCTCTCATGCCTCTCCTCCCTCCGTTCGCGGCTCAAGCTTTGGCTCGAAAGGGCGGTGGGTACATCGAGCTTGCTTCACCACATCCGCCGTGTTTTTTCGACAACATCTTTTGTTGTTCATGCACACATGGCTAAACACTAACAGCCACCTGTAGTTCACAACATGCCTGCTTGGAAGAACAAGCGGCCAATCCAGTAAAGGAAGCTTCATCTTTTTCGGCGCTGCCTCCGGGGATATCGTGGAGCTCGTGGAGGTTATCGTGGACGATGTAATAGTCTACAGCCATCGTGCCACCATAAGGAGCACATACAAAAAACAAGTACAAATGTTCTGGCCACGTTGGGCCTACACCACAAAGAGGTTCCACGACATGATCTAAGCAACGACCAGAAAACCTGAGTCCTTTCTGAGCCCAAAGTGGTCCTTATTTCAGCGTCTTCGCTGCACTGGTCTCGAACGGAGCTGCTCATGGCGCCATGGGCGAGGTGGAGCCGCATCCACGAGAAGGTCGAAACGAAGCCGAAGTGTCCATGTCAATATCGACGCAAGTTGGTCAATCACCGCGCTACTCTACTCTACTCCTCTCTACTCTACTCTATTGTACTCTACTCCGCTTCTGAATTTGACAATTGGTGGACGGTTGTGTGGACGTCATTGGAATAGCCGTGCGAGTAGGAGGAAATCATGCGGATAGGAGGAAGCCATGTGGACAGGATGAAGCCAGCAGAACAAACCATGTGGACCGGAAGACGCCATGCGGGTAATTTGACGTGTGTTGGGGCAAACGAGGGGGAGCAGTGGACCAGTTCGCTATGCTATTGAGCTAGGACTCCTATGCACTAGCCTATGCGGGGAGTGACGAGAGTGATGAACGGAGGGTCGTTTCAAAATATGCCCCTCGCCTCAGCGCCACGGGCATTCGCTTGAACAACTTCCAACTGCTACACGGACGGAAGGCAAATCTTCCCCAAGACAACAACCGGCAAAACAACACGCTCGCTGCATTTCACTGGAGAGTCCGCACGCACTCCGCGCCTGCCCTCTCAGTCTCCCGCGCTCTCCATCACAATCTCTCGGGGCTGGACCTAACGTTGTTTTTCGTTTTGGCTTCGTTTTGCTCTTCCTGTTTTCCTGTAGCTCCCTCCCAAAACGAAAAACACAGCCGAAGTCCCGCCCTGCTCTCTCTCTCTCTCACAATCTCCCTGTGTCTCCGTTGTGTACAAGTTGTGCGCATTCAGTCTGTTTCCTTGGTGTGCACTGACACCTCGCTCGGCACGCTGTTGTCCCGGAGCCACTTACAAGTAGACATGCCAACGCATACATGTATGGCTTCGGGGTGAAATGGGGGTGCCTGCAAAACGACGGCGGGTGTGAACCACACAAACCAACTCCATGCCGCCTCACTTCCATCCTATTCCATCCTCTCTCCCTCTCCATCTCTGTCTCTCTCTCTCTCTCTCTTTCTCTCCCTCTCTATATCTCTCGTCGGCCTACTTCCATCCTTTCTCCCTCTCTCTCCTCTCTTTCTCATCCTCCGTCTTCCTGCTCCTCCTCCTCCTCCTCTTCCCCCCGCTCAGCTTCCACTCTCTGGGCGGAACCAGTGAAAACCCAATGGACAAACAACACACGCACACCAAACACACACACACAACACACAATCCCGTGGAACTTCCTGCGGGGGGGCGGGCAAGAGATGTGTTGCCGCTTGTTTTTTCTATGACTATCAATGAACCCGCCTTGGAAAACAGGAAACCGGGCGGGAGGATGGGGAGGAGAAGGAGCAAGAGGAGGGGAAGGTTCAGGAGCCGCGCATGCTCCTTCTCTATCCCCCCCTTCTCAGATCCTCGTAACTCTCCCCACTTTCTATCACTCCTGCTCCTCGTCATAGCTGTCCTATGGGAGGCGCAGAACGAGGGAGGATACGGAGGGGGGAAGATGACGAACGAGGAACATGCGGAATAGGAGTTGCCAGAAGGATGCAGGGGAGGATACGGTTGATGGGCCACTTCTCTTCCTTTTCCCTCCTCCCTCCTTCTCTTACAAGACGAATATTGAGGAACAGGGTTGCTATACTGATCATGGTGATGAGGGTGATGATACTGGGAGCAGTAGAAAGAAGAGGAAGACCTCCTGAACCTCGTCCTCCTACACCTCCTCCTCCTCCTCCTCCTTCTCCTCCTCGTCTTCCCCCATATCACTCCTCCCCCTCCTCCTCCTCCTCCTCACCTCCTCCTCCTCCTCCTCTTCCTCTTCCTCTTCCTCCTCCTCCTCCTCCTCCTCCTCCTCCTCCTCCTCCTCCTCCTCCCCCTCGTCCTCCTCCTCCTCCTCCTCCTCCTCCTCCAACTCCCGCTCTCCTCCTTCCGTAGGTGAGATACGGGGAGAACAATAATGATGATGAGTGTTAGAATGAGGAAGAGGAGAAGAGGAGGAGGCGGAAGAAGAGGAGGAAGGGGAGTGGTTGTAGCAGGATGGTGACGAGGAGGGGGAAGAGGAACCTATACTCATCAGCATGTGTGTCCGTTTCCTCTTCATCCCGTATCCTCCTCATCCCACCACTGGTGACGCTTTCCCTCCTCATCGCGTTGTTTTTCCTCCTTCTCCTCCTCCTCCTCCCTCATGCCAGAAGCGCGACAGGGCAGGTAGATGGAGATGAAGACGAGGTGAGAGAAAATGAGAAGAAGGGGCAGGATGAGGAGTATGAGGAGGACGTCAACGCTTAACTCATCTTCCTCTCCATCGTCCTCCTGATCATCTCACATCTCTTCCTCGTCTTCCTCCTCAATACATGACTTGTCCTCCACCGTCTCAGCCTCCTCCCGTCGCCCTTATGGCAGATATGATGCTGAGGAGGGCGGGCAGGTGTAGGGTAGGAGGATGAAGAGGGGGATAATGCAGGGAATGCGAAGGATGAGGGGGAGGAGTGACAGGAGGAGCAGCAGGAGACCTAGGATGAAGAGGAGGACGAGGAGGACGAGGGGGAGGAGGAGGAGGAGGAGGAGGAGGAGGAGGAGGAGGAGGAGGAGGAGGAGGAGGAGGAGGAGGAGGAGGAGGAGGAAGGGGAGGAGGAAGGGGAGGATGGGGAGAAGAAGGGGAGAGGGGCAGAGCAGAAATAATGATGACGATGACCTTGCTGATAATTGAAAGGAGGATCCTGAACCAATCACTCCCCCTTCTCATATCACTCCTCGACACCATCATTATTGCTCCCCTCCTCATATCTCCCATGCGGAAGGAGGAGGGGGCTGGAGGAGAATGAGGAAGATGAGAGAACACGGATAAGGGGTACAAAGATGAGTAATTACGCAGGAGGATGTCAGTACTTAGCTCCTCCTCCTCTCCATCCTCTTTCTGATCATCTCACACCTCATCCTCGTTTTCCTCTTCACTGTATGACTCGTCCTCCTCCTTCTCCGCCTCCCCCCGATCGCGACTATAGAAGAAAGTGAACGTGACATGAGTAGGGAAATTAATCTGGGGCAGAGGATGGCGGGCAGAGGAGTCGGAGCAGGTGTAAAGTAGTGTAGTGTGTAGATGGAGGAGGAGAAGGAGGACACTGAAGGGAATGAGAAGGACGAGGAGGAGTGACACGAGGAACGGCAGGAGACGTAGGATGAAGAGAAGGAGGAGGAGGAGGAGGAGGAGGACGAGGAGGAGGAAAACGGGGAGAATTCTGACGAAGATGTGGCGGAAAAATCATAGGAGGAGGAGGAGGAGGAGGAGGAGAAGGACGATGATGGGGATGCGGAGAAAAGGATATAGATGTCGAGGAGTATCAATCGTCATCCTGTATCAATCGTTCCCGTTCGTCCTCATAGCGACGATGTGCGGGCTCGAGGCGTGGATGCCCGATGCGGGATGTGAGGTCGTCTGAAAAAACATGCCATCACCATGTTTCCGAACTTGTCATTTTGCAGGGGGGGCCCTTTCACACCCGAGCCATGTACTATATATATATATGTATATGTTATATATATATATATATATCGGAGGTGAGGGGGTGAGATCGAAAACGGAGAGCCCCCCCTACCGGGAAATCGATTTCGGTTTCGTGTTCGTGCGTGCCGTGCGTGCGGGCGAGGCGAAGCTGCGTGGGCGGGCGAGAGAAAGTCCCCTGTGGCTTAGGCGCGGCCGGACCAAATGATTCTCCACCGGGCGGCCGGTGGCGCGCGGTGTCCCGCCGGTGTCCCGCCGGTGTCCCGTCGGTGTGGCGCGGCCGGACCGAATGTGTCTCTTCCGGGCGGCCGGTGGCGCGCGGTGTCCCGCCGGTGTCCCGCTGGTGTCCCGTCGGTGTCCCGATGATGATGTGGATGATTATGATGATGATGATGATGATGATGATGATGATGATGATGGTGATGATGATGATGGTGATGATGGCGATGATGATGATGATGATGATGATGATGATGATGATGATGATGATGATGATGATGATGGTGGTGTTGTTGATGATGATGATGATGACGTCGATTGTGAGATCGATTGTGACATCGATAGTGAGACCGAATGTGAGATCGATTGTGAGATCGATAGTGAGATCGATTGTGAGATGATGATGGTGATGATGGTGATGATGGTGATGATGGTGATGATGATGATGACGATGATGATGATGGCGTCGATTGTGAGATCGATTGGGAGTTCGATTGTGATATCGATAGTGAGATCGAGTGTGAGATCGATAATGAGATCGACTGTGAGATCGATAGTGAGACCGAATGTGAAAT